GCGGAGGCGGCGAGGCGGGAGCGCGCGGCGAGCCCCAGCGCAGCATGACTGCCATCGCCGTGCAGGTACCCGCGGGCCGGCGGCGCGCTGAGCCGCCCACCCGGATCGGGCCGGGGTCTGCCCCCTCGTGGGGAAGGGGGGGGGCTTCGCAACGAAAACGAATGCCAGCCGCGGGCCGGGGTGGAAGTGCCCGCACCCTGTGGCAAGCCTCGGGGTTCCGAGGAGGGTGGGCGTGAAGCGACCGGGGGCACCCGCCCCCAGTGCTGCTCCTGCGGCGCCGGCTCCTGTCGGCCTCTGCTCGCGGCCCTGCAAGCACCCGAGGCTCCTAAACTTCTTGGGGAAGATTTTTCTCCTTCTGTCTGGGGTCCCCAGTGTCTATCGGCTAGGCTCACCAGAGGGGTCCCTCCTTTTTGAAAACGAGGCGCGTCTGGCGTGGAGGATGGACAGAATCCACTTGCAAAGTGAGGCTTGCCTTATGTAACCTGAGGATGCATCTCTGGGCAAGCCAGAACTTTCTTGGGTGGGGGATAGAAAGACCACCTCCTCTCCCCAAAACTGTTTGGGGGGCTGGGGCGGGCGGACGCCTCAGAGAAGAGGCTCTCGTGAGAGAAGAGGACCGCATCCCCGAACACTGGTTTTCTCAGAGTAGTGCAAGATGTTGATGTGGGCTGGGAACCTACGTATCCCTACCCCCTCCGCGCGGGCGTGCTGCCCTCCGAAGGGAAGTCGGCGGTGGCGGGACCGCTACCCTGCCGGCGAGCTTCGTTTACGCGGAGGCATTGCACAGCTCGCTTCCTGCCGTCTCCGACTGCACTGGCCTGGCGGTTAGAGAGGCTCGCTGACTTTGCGTGCAAGTGCTCAGATTCCCATTACACTGACTCCGGTCGATACTGCTCCGCCCATTTTATAGATGTGGTAACAGGCCTGGAGGTAAGGTCACCTGTCCTTGGTGGCCAGCTTAGCGACAGAATCGAGATTCAAAACCAGGACTTCATGGCTCCAAATCCCACTCGCCCTTTCTGCCTTTCTCTAGCAGGAGAAACCCAAACCCACAGGCCACCGCCAAACCCCTTCTAGCCAGGACGCAGCCGCTGGGGTGGGGAGGCGGGGAACGGGATGCAGCGAGTTCCTCCTCTTTGTTTTGTGGCATAATCTTGAGTCATGACCAGGCAGCCTCCTGGGACAGGCAGTGAGGAGGGTGGGACCGGGTGTGGTCTCTCCCCTCCAGGAGCTGACCGTCCCGTTGGGGAGAGAAACTTGTGAACAAGGATTTAGAAGAAGTATCAGAAGGGAGGGCTAAATTAACAGGTGCAAACACTCCGGGCAGGATTAACTGGCGGGGGTGGGGGTGGGGGGCTGTTGTGCTGTGCTCCTAGGGCCAGGGAGACTTTAGCAAGGTGAGGGGGCCGAGTCTAGCGGGAGAAGGATGAGGGGCTGCGGCGGTGGGAGGTGGGGTGGGGAGATGAGGGGAAGCCCTGTGAGCCTGGGCGCTGCGCCTGCTTGACAGTAGACGCTGCCGCTTAGGTGCACTTAGCTACGTGCGCCAGGGCTGCTTTAAGCACTTGGGCTGATAACTCATTTCAGCCCCACAGCAACCACAGGAGGTAGGTACTGTTCTGTTTGTAGTTGAGGAAGTGGAAAGAGAGGGAATGGATAAATCACTTGCCAGAGGTCACACAGCTGAAAAGCAGGCTGGCTGGCTCCTGTGCCGGCCTGACCAGTGCACTTGGGTCATGCGGGCAGGGGTGGGTGAGGCGTGGGCTCAAGGGAACAGTGGCAGGCCAACTCTTTAGGAAGCTGTTGGAGAAATTTCCAGCCAATGATGATGATAAGGGCCTGACCTGGGCCCAGGCAGAGTGGGCAGTGGGGTGGGGTGGGGTGCACAAATACTGGGGATGTGCTGGGGATGTGGAAAATGAGTAGTGAGCAGCCCAGAGTGTCTACTTGGAGGTGGACAGGAGCAGGGGGGGTTCTGGGTTATACAGGAAAATAAGACCTTGGCACTGGACTCAGTGGCCTGGGAGTGTCAGGTGACATTGTTCTAGAGGTCGCTGGCTAGAAATCATTCAGGGTTACAGATGAAAAGAGGGGAAACACATTTTTTTAGCAAAGAAAGTCAAGGCCCTGAGACATTAAAGTGACTTGCCCAAGGTCACACAGCTGGGGGCTCGAAGGTCTGAGGCAGGACTAGATTCCTCTTGTCCATCGACCCTCCATTGACCACACTGCTGCCTGGCAGCCCTCCCGGAGAGGGTTTCAGGCCCTGGATCACTGAAAGCTAGCAGAGGTGCCAGCAGCTGGGGGTGTGGTGCAGGCTGGTTAGGAGGAAGACTCCAATATGGGTTATTATTACTAATATTATTAATAGCTCCCATGAATTGAGAGCTGCTCATGTGCCAAGGAGCTTTATATACAGATCTCTTTTAATCCTTGGGAGTTTTATAGGTGTCAGAGTTTAAATGAAGCCCTGATTTGGGGTGCGAGGGGGAGAAATGAACCCACATCAGCTGTCTTCTCTTTCTGCTCCCGGTGTGATGTCTGAGGGCCTGGAGATTAAAGTCCAGTCCAGTGCCGAGGACAGGTGGGGCGGAGGGAGGGACGGGAGGTGCCTGTGCTCCAGACAGCATGATGTCTATAGGGTCTAAAGGTTTCTGGGGCTGTGCTCTTTTGACTTGCTCTCTGCATCTGGGGCTGTCCTATCCTAGAACCTCATCAACCTCTAGGGGCATTGCAACCTCCCCAGGTGCCTCCGTGGCTACTGCTTTCCGGCAGGGGTCACCACCTCCATTTTGCAGATGAGAAAACACTGGCAAAGAGGTTCAGAAATCACGCAAAGACAGACACCTTGACTGATTTGTAGACACAGCTTTGAAAGTTCCCTTGGTTTGTTCTTAGCTGTAGAGCCTTTTTCCCTAATGCAGGCTAGTACAGTCTCATGGATTCCCAATGTCTCAGCAGGGAACAGGGATCTGTTGTGGTTGGAGTGAGGAAGGGCCCTGGGGCTGATTTCCTCACCCCCCTGCTTCAGCACCTGGAGGCCCCTCTAGGAAGCAACAGGTCACGGTTGGAGAACCATGGCCCAGACTCCTGCCTCGGGGCTCTTTACAGCTCCCCAGGCTGCCTTCGTTTTGGGATCTGAGTGGGGGTCCTGACCCCTTGGGCATCCCTCTACTCTCTAATCCTTTTCCTCACCAGTAATATCGAGCCCCTAAGATGAAGGCCCTGTACTTTGAAGGCGCCAGTCAGTATTTATGGGTTGAATGCATCCCACCCCCTGCACATTAGAGGGTTGTCTAGGGAGCTGTAACAGGCTTTATATTTAGGTAAATGATCTTGGGCAAGTCACCTGACCTCTGTAATAACACAGATTCCCTCTTCACATCCCCCCCTCCCCCCACAGAGCTTCCTGCTTCACCAAACTGAGAGGTTTAAGGGTAAAATAGGACCCTACTTAGGAGGAAGTGCTGAAAGCGAACTGGTCCTTATTCATGTATTCCTGGGGCTGAAATTAGCAGTAGCTCCTGCTCAGGTGGGCAGGTTAGCAGACAGCCTGATGTTCCTGCCAGGGCTCTGACCACAGAAGTGTCCCAGGAGTGTGGTTTTGCTTTCTGTCCCTCACTGAGAGGTGTGGCCCGGACTTGCCTCTGGAAGCTGCCATTTGCATATGGTACAAGGTGCACCCCATAGTGCCTGTTCGGTTTCCCAGCAGTGACCATCACGCATGAGCTGTCTGTTTTGCTTACCTCCCAAACCGGGATGTGACCTGGGCTGCTTCCATGCACACTGTAAAGGGGGTAATTTAATTTATGACTGGGCGGGAGACTCAGTTTAAAGGGAGCTTCAGAGGGAAGTGACAGCGGTTGCAAACTTGACCATTCACTTGGCCCATGGCTCTCCTTGAGCACCCACTGAGTGTCCAGGTCAAGCACTGCCAGGTACTGGGGACACAGCAGTGTCTGAACGGGAGGCCGTGCCCTCTTGGAGAGCACAGCCTCCGGGTGAGATAGACAACAATATATAACTACAGATCCAAAAGGAATGTGTAACTTGATCAGAACGGTGAGGAAAACAGACAGGGTGCCTGACTGAGAATGACAGGAGGGGGCCTGGTTTGGGTTGCGTGGGCAGCAAAGACCTCTCTGAGGAGGTAACATTTCAGCTGAGATGTGAAGAATGGAGAAAAGAAGGCAGCCTGGAGGGGTGGAGGGGGCTGGAGAAGAGCCTTTCATGGGGAGAGGCCAGTAGGTCTGAGGGAAGCAAGTTCTAGGCTTGTCCTAGGCCTGGAAAGAGGGCTGCTGTGCCTGGGTGAGGTGGCCAGGGAGAGTGTGCTGGGGGATGCAGTTGCAGAGGGAGGCGGGGCAGATCTGCAGGGCTTGTGGGCCACGGTAAGGAGTTTGACCCTTTGAAGTATTTCTTTTACTTTCTGGGTCTGCAGTGTGGATGGGCACCTGGGTGGTGTCCCAGGGCTATGAGATAGGGACACCTCACTGGACGCCTGGCCCGGCTTGTCGGGAGAGAAGAGAGGGGTGCCCTCGTCCAGTGCTGAGACCAGAGACTGAAGGAGAGCCACAGAGTCTTCGCCACAGCTAGAAGTTGCTAGAACAGAGAGTTTGGTTGACAAGCTCAGCGTGAGGTACAGGCTGAGCAAGACTGAAGGGCAAGGTGCAATATTACTTTCAGTACTGAGGAAAACAAGGTAATAACACGAGTCCTGGACCGAATGTGGAAAGTCAGAACCAGGTGGGTGGGGATTAGGATAAAACTGGCCGTGTCCTGGGGAAGGGAGAGAGGGAAACGGAACCTTGTATTGATATGCTAATGTACAGTGCTTTTTACAACCCTCACCCTGCTTCCTGGCAATATTCTTGCTTTGCTTACAAAGAAACCAAGGCAAGCCGCAGGCTCAAGGTCACACTAGCCAAGCCAGACAGGTTTTCTGAATTCAGAAGCGACTAGGATTTGCCAGTCAATACAATGTGGATTTTTTACTCATTATAAAGATCATTAAAGAAAGAAAGTTCAGGAAACTGGACAGTCAATGCTTATAAGGTCTTGAATGGAGGACGGGGAACAGGTAGAATGGGGGAAGAGTTCCCCAAAGAAAGTGGGTCTGTGCGGAAAGGTAAGGAGCTGCTGGGGAGGAAGCTGTGAGTAAAGGCGAGCATTCCAGGCTTCCCGGGAGACCGGAGCAGGACATACGGCTGTGGGAAGCTGGAAGGCATGTTCAGGCTCTTCCCTGAAGAGGTTGCAGGGGGTGTGGCGGGGCTTCCCCTGACATGCTGTCTCTGTGGTGTCTTGCAGGCCCAGAGGCTGCTGGCCCAAAGGAGGCCCCGCCGGCCCTTCTTTGAATCCTTCATCCGGACCCTCATCATCGTGTGTGCCGCCCTGGCCGTGGTCCTCTCCTCCGTGTCCATCTGTGACGGCCACTGGCTCCTGGCTGAGGACCGGCTCTTCGGGCTATGGCATTTCTGCACCACCTCCAACCAGACGAGGCCGCACTGCCTCAGAGACCTGAGTCAGGCCCACGTGCCCGGGCTGGCCCTGGGCATGGTCCTGGCCCGCAGTGTGAGCGCCTTGGCCGTGGTGGCCGCCATTTTCGGCCTGGAGCTCCTTATGGTGTCCCAGGTGTGTGAGGACCTCTACTCGCGGCGGAAATGGGCCTTGGGCTCCTTCCTTCTCCTCATCTCCTTCATCCTCTCCTTCGGAGGGCTCCTGAGTTTCGTGATCCTCCTCAGGAACCAGGTCACGCTGATTGGCTTCACCCTGATGTTCTGGTGTGAGTTCACTGCCTCCTTCCTCTTCTTCCTGAATGCCATCAGTGGCCTTCACATCAACAGCATCACCCATCCCTGGGGCCAACCAAGGAAATTTTAGGTCCCCCCTTCTGAGGACATCAGGTTCTACAAGAAAATGTAGTCAAGATGGGACTTTTCCAACATGTGACCTCTGGTGGGGGTAGGAGTGGGACAATGACCTTGAAACTGCTGCGTCTTAGCCAATAACCTTTGGATGGTTGGTCAGAAATGGCCCAGGGGCCTTTGCAGCTGGTCTGCAGGGCCAGAGGCCAGGAGGGTGCCTCAGTGCCACCAGCTGCACAGGCTTAGCCAAGTTATTAGGATGTTGATTTTAGAAGAAGAAGAAACACATTTTAAACCCTTCTTGAATCCTTCTTCTCAGGACGGAAATAGATTTGGAAACAGCTCCGGTACCTGGTGCCCGGGCTGGCTGCACAGCCAAGTGCACTTCACACCTGTTTTATTGACTCTGTGCTGGGATATGGGCTGCTGGGATATGGGCTGTAGGGTCCCTGTGGCCTTCTGGGGTTGCTAAGAGTGGGTCATTCTTCCAGCTAAGAGTGTCCAGTCGGTGCCTAGGACTTCCTCCCACCAGCTCAAAGGGCCTTTGTGCACGTTTCCCTGCTTTGGGTTTGGTCATGCCGGGGAGGCAGAGTTTAGGATTCCCTCAGAATTTCTTGCACATAGTAGGTTTTCAAACCATTTGACTTGATTTGACTCCTGCCTTTTGGGGGACCCCATAATCCCTGGATGACCCCAGCTCCCAGCGGCTGCTGTCCCCTCTGGGGAATCTGCCTGCGGGAATCCTGCCTTAACTCTTTGAGAAGTGTTCCTGAGCAAGCCCTTCCAGGAGGATTTCTAATACACTGACCTCCCTGAGGTGAGCCTGTGTGTCCATCTTTGGTAAGGGTTGGATGGCCTCAGGGTACCATTTTTGATCCTAGGACACGTTTCAAAGAGCACCTATCTGGACCTGCTGGACTCCAGGGGGTAAAGAGGCCCAACCAGACCTTGGGTAATGATTAACAACCATCCTGGGGATGAGTGCAGGTGAAGGGGACCAGGAACCAGTGGAGATTTCCATCCTTGCTGGCAGATCTGCATTTTTGTGCATCAAATTGCCCCCTTTCCAGTCCCTTTTCTGCCCCAGTAGGTGGGGGTTTTGCCCTCAGGCTGTTTCATCCTACACTAACCCCTTCCCCCTCCCCCACCTGATGAATTCTGGTCTTCCCGGGTTCATTCTGGCTGCTACTGATTGCATGGGATTTTGGTCTCTGCCCTGCCCTTGTCACTGCAGGCCCCTTTTCTGGAGTGGGCTGGGCACCTATACCTACCTCTTGTGATTTTTTAAAAACTTTTATTCCAAGATGCACGGAGTCCATGGAGATCACTCAAAAAAGGTGTCATGGACCAATCAGTTTTTCGGAGAGCAGAGCTCATCAAACATACAGGCTGGGTTCTTAGCCCTGGAAAATGGGCACCTGGCCTTTTCCCTCCAGGAAGGTGCACAAGGTGCAAAGTGGTGACCTCTTTGTCTCTGCAGGGGGTTGGTGCAGAGGTGGGGAGCCAGGGCCTAGAGAGGGACAGCACTTGTCCAGGGTCACCCAGAGCTGGACCAGAGCTGGGCCCACCCACCAGCAGGATACCCTTTCCTCTACGTAGGGGAGGAGTTGTCTCTGCTTCTGTCCAGAATGCTCTCCCCTGAGCACTAGTAGTCTTTGTTTTGTAAAAGGGTTCAGATATTTAGTCTTCTTTAATCCTCACCTAGCTGATGGGGAGAGAGGGCTGATATTCAAGGGAACTGAGATCCAGACAGTAAAGGGTGAAACTAAAATTCCCAATGGGGCTGGGAGACAGGCCCCCCCTCCTTCCTTCCCTGTCCGGGACCAGGGAAAACAGACACAGCCTTGGAGCGAGGCTATTTGAAACCAAAGGCCCTGGACTGAACTTCTGCCACTTCCTTGCTGAGTAGCTTGAGCAAGTCACAGGACCTTGGTGAAGCTGCTTCTCTTCTGTCAAATGGGATCATGCCCCATTTCCTGCTGTACCTGCCCCTGGGGCTGTGGATAACTAACTGTGAAACAGCTGTAAGAAGAGAGGGGTGCCTCATACCTGTTAGGGTTGCTAACAAGGAGCTGGAGGTCCTCCACTGTGACTTGATCAGATTAATTCAGCTGTTGTCTTGAAGGCTCTAGGATGAGAGGTACTGGACAGGTGAGTTGCAATGAGGGGTGGGGATCCTGGGTAGGGGGGGTCCTAGGGCCAAGGGCCTCGATTTCTCATGTGTCCTGGGCTTCTAAGCTTGTCCCTGAGAACTGGAGCCAGGGGGAGCAGGGAAGCCCCCTCCTCCAGGAGGGGTAAGGGAGTGAGCCAGAGCATTCTCCCTTGCCCCTCACCTTGTGTCTCAAGGGCAAAAAGACTGACAAATTGAGACCAAATCTCATTCCAGCTACCATTTATTTCCCTGCCCACTTTTGGGACCCCTGAACTGCTCTTCCCGGGAGAACACAACAGACCCAGATCCCATGCCCTCTTCCTGCCCCACAGTGTCCCAAGTTCCTTCAGTTCTGAGGAATTGTCACCACACGCGCCCCCACCCACCCCTGGAGGCCTGGAGGAAGGGTGTGACTAGTCATAGGAGTAAGCATATGATGTCTGCTGGGAAGACAGCCTGTCCTGCAACAGTGTCCAGCCCTCTCAGGACCCATCTTGGCCTCTGTCTGAGGGTGGCCCTGCTCCAGCCTCTCAGATGACGCTGGCCTTGCAGGTGCTCTGACTCGGCTCCAGGGTGCTGGTCTTGGTGCCATGGGTGAGGCCACTGGTGCCATTGATGAAGGAGGAGTTGGCCACAGGGCGCAGTGGGAATTCACGGAGGTGCCACTGCTGCCACTTCTTCTGAACCTCCAGCTGCACCTGCCCCCAGAGACCAGCCATCAGCCGGGGAGGGAAGAAGGACCCTGTGCCCTAAGTCCCACTCGCTCCCTGGGGGCCTCCACACAGGCCCTGCCACCTGCCCAGCAGTCATGCCTTCCCTCTCCTGCAGGTCACTCAGATGGACCACTTCCAGCCCTGATGTCCTGTAGGTATGGAGGACCCCTCTCCTCTGGGTCCTGCGATCTACTACATCTGTCCCAAAGAAGGGGCCTGTGGTTGTCTCACAAACTCCAGAACTGCAACATCCAGATCATCACCTGGGACAGCTGGACACATCCCTGTGAAGCCACCCTAGCTCAGAACTTGTGGGGGCCTGGGAGTTGCTCTTTGGAACTTTCCTTCATGATCCCCAGCTGTAGCAGCAAAACCTTTGAGCCTAGGCTTGATGCTTGATTTTGGAAAACATCACAGGTTATTCCCATTCAAGTGTGGTGAACCAGATAGATGGCCAACAGTCACAGTCACACGCTTGACTTGTGTGCAGTACCGTATTCAACTAGTGTTGATGGCGCAGATTCCGTGTGCCAGGAATCTCGCTCCTGACCCAGACGCTCTGGGCAAGGGCAGAGACCTCAAGGTAAGTGTGCAGCCCCCCAGGAAGTCAACGCTCATTTGGAGGTCTCTGAGGATTGATTGGCAGGTCATCTGAGTCTCCCATTTTACAGAGAGCGGCCGTGACCGAGATCACGCGTCAAGCAAGCAGCAGAGCAGTGCTGCTGCTTTTCCCCCATTGTGCCTGCACTTTCTCCCATTTCCTGAATCAGCCCAAGGATAAGAATCACCTGGAGTGCTTGTTGAAAAACGTTCTCAGGCTCCAACCCAGACCTACAGAATCCATTTTTGCTGAATTAGAAACTGGGGGTAGGGCCCACCAAATATTTTAACAAGGCCTCTGGTTGATTCTGTTGCTCCCATAAAATGAGCTCAGGCTCCTAGAAGACAAGCCCAGGCTTCCCCACTCACACTACACCCCATCCCTATCACCTGCCAGGTAGCTCCTCCTGAACTGGAATCCAGAGGCTAGGGAGATCCTCTAGAAATCCGGGCAGCCCAAGAACACTCACCTCCCCGTTGAGGAAGCAGTAGAGGATGGCCACCACCAGGCCCTGTGGAGGGAGCAGAGGCAGCAGGGGGTTGGTGCGGGTACTCCAGCACCCAGCCTCGTTCCTCCAACCTCCCCCACTCCAAGTCCTTTAATCACTAACCCCAGGCTCACTTCCCCTCAGGAAGTCTTCCCAAGCCTTCCCACACCTCCCTCACCCCAGAGGGGACTGGGGCTGCCTCTCCTGGGCCCCTCAAGTGTCCTTGGCTGTGTTGGCATCATCCAGCACAGACTGAGCTCCTTGGGGGCAATGATGGGGTCCCGTTCGTCTGTTGTCCCCAGTGTCCAACATGGGCCTCCCTGGCACGTGTGTGGTGTCAGTAACATTAAAATAGGCGCTGCTAACTCAGGCCCAGGGACCAGGCACTCACCCGAATTAGTAAGGTGGGCCCACCCGGGAGAAGCGGGGGGTGGTGGCACCTGAAGTACGCCCACCCCACCCCACCGGGAGCGGTTGGGACCAGCCCATGTGAGATCCGGGTCCCTGTGTGGGCTCATTTTTCAAGATAAGCTGGAAATCTGGAGATGTTTAAACATAGACAACTATTCAAATTGACAAATGTGTGAATGTGTGGTCAGAACAAAGCCTGTGTGCAGGTCCCGGCCGGCCAGCAGTGGAGGGTGACCTCCCTGCTTAATGGACACGTGAATGCATCTCCTTGGTCACGGGCCTCAGGGCTGCATACACTTGACGTTCCCTGGTGTGGTGGGGATCTGTGCCTATCAGAACCCTCCCTCCCTCGTATCTGGAGCTCCCAATGGTGCCTCCCCGCTAGGATCCTGGCATGGAGCTCTGCCAGGGTAGGGACTCCAGTCTGGGATGTGGGATTCGAGCCTGAGAGGCCTGCATGGATGGAACTGTGAGCTGTGAGCAGGGTCTCTGCAGTGCGCATGCCCTGCTCACCTCCTCAGGGACCCACCTCGGGCCAGCCTGCCCTTCCTCTCTGACCTCAGGCTTTCCTGGCTGGTGAGCATCCTCCCCTCAGAGGCCTGGGTGCCACAGCTCTGACCCTAGGTGGCCCAACCCCTTCTTCCTAGTCCCATCCAGGCCTGCTGCCCTTAGCTACTTACTACAATGGAATGGACCCCAAAGAGAGATGAACCGCCCCGTCTATGGTGCTTCATATGTATGACTGCTCAGGGGCATTGGCATTTTAACAGGAGTTACTGACAAAGCTAGGATTTGCTTTAGAATTTCAGGCATCAATGACTGCTGCCTAGAATGGGGACTATTTGGGGAGAAGGGTGGGATACTTGCTCAAGGCAGTGGTTCCCAGGAATCTGTGCCCCAAATCCGAACGTCTGGGGCGAGAGCATCAGCAGCTTTGAAAGATGCCCAGATGGTTTGAACAGGCATGACTTATTAGGAACCACTGTCAGAGGGCATGAAAGGCAGGCTTGGAAATAAAACAGAGCTGGATTTGGAACACAGCTTGGCCTGTGTAACTGGGATTCTGGGTCCCAGGTACTTCATTTAATCCTTGCCAAAGCCCTAGGAGGTAAGTGGGAGGATCCCCACTTTACAGGTGAGGGAACTGAGTCACAGGGGTTTGGGTGGGCCTGGAGCTGTGTGTGCTTGGCCCAGAGTTGGTGGTCAGGCTGCCCGCCAAGGCTGCTGCCCATCTCCTTGGGCCCAGGGTTGCCTGGGCCTCCTCTGTCTGGGCCTCAAGGATCCAAGGACACATTTTCACTGTTCAGGTGAGGACAGGAGCCCTGGGGAGGAAAGTCAGATGTGCCCCAGGTATATATGGGGCAGGCCTCACACAGCCAGCAAGTTTAAGAAGTTCCAGTTTTTATACAATCATTAAAAAGGAAGTCTTTGAAGAATTTTAATGACACGGAGAAATGTTCACGTGGGGCACAATAGAGAATTAAACCAAGCAGGCTATAAAACCACACACATCACAACCTCAATTACGTGTATGTGGGGGGACAACTGTGGGTGTGTCTTCCTGGATGGAAAAGATACTTAGAAGTAAACACACCAACATTTTAACAGAGGTTATTTCTAGGTGATGAGATAATGGATGAATTTTTCTTTTTAAACTCTCCCTTATTTTCCAAATTTTCTTCAATAAGCAAGTATTATTTCTACAATCAGAAAGAGCTAATAAACTTTAGTTTTTAACAATATATGACAGTGATAATGGTATTGTGGTTCTCTGTGTTCTTCTTTAAGCCCCTGTCTTTCAAAAATACATACTAAAAAACTTACATTTGAAATAAAACTGTGTCTTGGATTTGCTTAAAATGATGGGAGATGGGATGGAGGAAGTGGATGGGGATAGAGATGTAACAGGACAGACCAGGAATGGGCAATGGCTACACAGGGGTTCATTATGCTAGTCTCTTCATTTTTGTATGTGGAAGAAATTTTCCATAATACAAAATTTTTTAAATATATATAAGTATATATCATAAATATGTATAATATAAAATGATATATATATTTGTGAACAAAGGTTCTTTTTTTAAAAAAAAAAAACACTGTTGAAGATCCTTTTCCTTCATAACCATTTCTATGGGAACATTAGGAAAGTGCTTTTTTGGTTTTCTCTTGACAAGTCGTTTCCCCAGAGAGAAGCTAAATGGTCATCGCTGGTAGTCCACAACCCCAAACTCAAGCCCCAACTGTGGGGACAGGAAGTCCCCCTCCACACAGCAAGGCAGACCTGGGTCTCCATGCTGTCAGTGATGTCACCATCCACCTCTGTGAGCGGAGTGGACCTGGAATCCACCATCTGCTAAACGGGCCGTTGTGAGCCCGGCCTCCCCGCACGTTATAAGGACAGTGGGCATGAAAGCTTCCTGGCCCAGGGAAAAAGAATCATGGATTACACAAGAGGCTGGGTTCTCTGGAGGGGACTCTGGGCAGAGGAGAGGCTCAGAGGAGGGCAGAGGAGACAGCTCTGGGCTCTGAAGACATGGGTTAGGGTAAGACCTGACTCCACTCAGTAATGTGTTCCCAGTGATGTGTCCTGCCTAGAACCTGAGAGTGACAGGAGGGCCACCCAGCCATGCCCGCCCTGAACAGAACTCTAGGCGTGAGGGAGGCTCTGAGCCCCCACCTGGAGGCTGAGGGCTCCCCCAGTGAGGAGGACTCTGCAGGATGATCAAGGTTGTTGAGGACAGGCTGGCTTCTTCAGGAAAACCCACTGGGAGAAATTTCTTTCAGGCCCCAAAGCCTATAATCACTAGGCTTTTCCTGGGAACTAGCTTGTTTTCATCAATGGATATTGTAAATCTTGAAACAGATTGCGTTTCTGTCTTTGCTTTGGCTACAGGGAAGCTCCAAAGCAAATTTATGACCCACCTCTCCCTCCTTCACAGGACTTTATTGCATTTGTTTCTGTTTATGAACAACTCAATTTTGGTTTTATTTTCTTTTTTCACCGATTCCTCATCTACTTATTTTCTGTCCTCTGTGTTTTCTTGAAAGCTACATTATATTATTTTTGGAAGGATACAGCCATGAGTAAATAAACAAGTAGTTGGTAGATGATCTCTCCTCTTGCCTTTTTTCTTTCTTTTTTTTAAGTCGGTTTTTATTTTTAATAAGTTGTCCATGCACACAGTTTCAAAGAGTCAAATGATTCTTGTCACAAAAAACAGCAGCCTCCTGACACCCCCGCCCCCATTTCCTGTTCCTCAGAGGCAACTACTTGGAACTTTCTCAACTGACTCTAAAATATATGCTGATGTTGCTACTTCTGGATTTTTCAGTTTGGGGCATTTTCTATGGACTTCCCAGTATGAAGATGAGGATATTATTCTTTCAAACACCCTCTCGCCCCACCCCCAACCCTCCCACAACACTCATCTTCCGGCCCCACTTTTTGATGGCTCAGCCATGGCCCTCAGGCGTCCATGATTTTAATTCTATATGCTGTGGAGAGTTGCACATATAGACTTTTCCCTTTTGTTTTCCCTGAAGTCAGTCCCTCTCTGCTTAGTTTATCCCCCAACCCCATTTGGCTGGTGGGGAACGGGTCCCGCACAGCGTCACACGGCACAGCGTGGTCCTGCCCTGCTCCTCTTGGGTCTCGGCCAAAGGAGGCGTCGGCCTTCCCGGATGCACTGCTGGACTCTTCCCGGAAGACCTGGCTTGCTGTCTCTATGGGTTCCATTTTTCTCTAAGGGAAGAGAACTCGTCTTTTCACCTTAAAGTCACAGTCCCTGAAGTTTACCTGGAATGAGCCAAGGGCCAATTCAAAGAACAGCTGGATCTCCATGGCGTCCTCTGGAGAGAAGGCGAAGATGATGTAGTGGATTCCGAAGAGGGGGATCAGCAGGAGGGTGGACTTGGCCAGACGCCTGGGGACACAGAGACACTGCAGTCTCCTGCCCTTCCCTCCGTGGGCACAGACTCCACTTACCCCGTCTTGACCCTGACTGCCAGGTTTTGACACAGTGTCTCCAAACTTTTTCGGTTTTACTTGTTATTTTGGAAAATTTCCAACTCCCATGTACCCGTCACCCAGATACAACACTTATCAACCCACTGCCAATCCTAAAACTTTCCGATCATGCACCCCTATCAGCAAAAAATTTTGAACATGGATCCACCCGAATAACCTTATTTATAAATTACGTGCACGTATGACTGCCACTCCGTCTAAAGTATTATTAGCAAAGCCAGCATTCTTATTTATTTGATAATAATTATCTATAAGGAGAAGTTTTTTCATTTCCTTCCCAGATTAGGGCTACAAAATTTAGCAAATAAAAATACAAGATGCCCAGTTACATTTGAATTTCAGATAAACAATGGATAATTTTTTTTTGGTGTAAGTGCTAAAAAAACTCTTCATTGTTTACCTAAAATTCAAATTACACTGGGCATCCTGTATTTTATCTGGCAACTTTGTCCTGGATCCCCAGCTCCACCCTACCTTGGAGCCCTCTGCTTTAGAGCTGTCCTGGGAAAGCTGTCAGCAACTAATTCAGGCCACTGCCAGATTCTCGAAACTCAAAACATCACAGAGAAAGCCTCTGTCAGACACTGATTTGTCTTTAACATCTGTTATAGGCTGAATTGTGCCCCACCCCACAAATCCTTAAATTGAAGCCATATTCCCCAGGACCTCAGCATGTGACTGAATTTACAGAGAGGGCCTTTAAAGAGGTGATTAAGTAAAAATGAGGTTGTTAGGGCGGGGCCTTGGTCCAATCAACTGGTGTCCTCATAAGAAGAGGAGGAGATACCAGGGAGGCACCCACACAGAGAAAAGGCCATGTGAGGACACAGCAAGAAGGCAGCCCTCTGCAAGCCAAGGAGAGAGGCCTCAGGAGAAAGCAAACCTGCCGACACCTTGATCTTGGACTTCCAGCCTCCAAAATGTGAGAAACGAATTTCTGTTAAGCCCCCCAGTCTGTGGTATTTTGTTATGGCAGCTCTCATAAACTAATTCAGCATCTTTCTTTCAGACCTTAAAGGTTTTAAAGTATTTTTGATCATACATCTCCTTGAAAATCTGATGAAAGCTATGGTCCTTTTCTCCTGAAAAATACAAATACCTATACAAATTTGTCTGAATTTGGGTCCCTGAAGCCCATCTGCAGACTTCCTAGCCTTGCCCCAAGGGTAAGATCTCTGCTTCCTGGGAGCCTCCTGGAGATTCCTTCTGTCTCCTCCCCAGTGCCGTGTCTAAGGCTTCACAATCAGACCCCCTCACCCCGCCCCCCTAATTTGCATTATAAACTCCTTGGGACTAGGTCACAGTTTATCTGCTTCTTCCATCTCCAATAAAACTTAGCACCAGTTGGGTAACAGTAGGTGCTCAGTAAATGCTTGCTGTCTGACTGACTGAGTGTGCCTAGGTCTTTGCCCTCCACTTACTTATATTGGTTCGTTTCATTTCCTCTTGTTTCTTGGGTTCTAAGTTTTCTCATCAGGATTCTTAGGATGTTAATAAAAAGGATGAAATTAATCTGTAAAACACAAGGCAGAGGTGGGCTGAAGGTGATTTGCTCTCCTGGCCACCTCTCCTGGCCTTAGCCCTGGCCCTGAGGGCAGAGAAGGCATTGCAGACCACACCCAGGATGGCACATCACTGCTCCCCTCTCCCCACGAGCCCCCCAAAAGTCCTGGTGAGACAAGCTGTCTGGAGGCGATGGCCGACACAGCACTGCCCCCAGCCCTGGGTTGCAGGAGCTCTAAGGTCTGCTCCGTTGCAGCAGATTACCGACACATGGGATGCACTGGAAACCCCTGGGGGTCTTGTCAAAATGCAAGGCTGTGGTGGGCCTAAGATTCTGCATTTCTAACGAGCTCCAGAATGCCAAAGCTGGTCCTTGGACTACATTTTGAGTAGCAAGACCTTACAGCAGAGGTTCTCAAAGTTTAGGGTGCAGATTGCCTTTCCCCCTAACCCCCAGACATTACAGGTCAGTAAATCTGGGGTGGGGCCTGAGAATTTGCATTTTTAACAAGCTCCCAGGTGATGCTGAAGCTGCTGGTCTGGGGACCACACTTTGAGAACCACCGCTTCAGACTCTTATAGAGTCACTTTGCAGCCCAATCACCAGCTCCAGGAAGCCATCCTTGATTACCTCTCTTTCCTGATTCACTGTAGTTAGGGATGATGTTACTGTGTAAGAGCACTTGAAATATTTGAAAGAGGCCAAATATATACATCTGTCAAAATTGTGTGTGTCCACTTAGCTGCCAATTCAATCATAACTTCCTAAAGGACAGAAACGGAGTCTCTAGTCCTCCAATCCCAGTGCCCAGTGCTGGGATGTTATGAAGTCGCCCACATGGTGGTATCTCCCCTCCCGTCTCACCCACCGGCTCCAGCACCATTAACAGAAGCAGGGATCACTGGAATTGTCAGCTGGGCACTTCATTGTTCATACGAGTAGCTTGGGGCCTGGGGACACTTGCCAAAAGACAGGATTAGTGGCCTGTCTAGGACTCCTAACCCAGCGCCGCTTCTTTGGGACACTCCTTCTCAGCTCATTGTTTATGCATCTTGCTCTGAGCTGGTTGTGCATGGTGTAAACTAATAAAGGTCATTTTATTTTATTTTATTTTTTGTCTTAAGAGTTGTATTTAATTTAACAGGGAGGACTTGAAAGCAAAAGAAAAAAATCTTTAAGATCCCAAGAATGAGTCTTGAATAGGGGAATTGTAGGCCCCGGGACAGGCTGGTTGGGAGAGATTTTGCATGAGGGGTGCCCACCCAACACCCCTCAATCCCTGGATGGACCACAACCCCAGGAAACCAGCCTGGACACTGGGGCTGGTTGTCCCTCAGCTGGTGCTCTCTGGGGCTGGGCGGTCAGAGTTCCAGAATAACGGCAAGAAAGCCGGTCTAACGAAACGAGGAGCTGTCCTCCTGTGGGAATATTATGCAGCCATAGCAAATCGGTCAGTCAAATAATTTCAAATTACATGGGAAAGCTCACATCTACTGCTAAGCGAAAAAAACAAACTAGGATACAAAACTATATTAAGCATTTTGGAAAAGAAAAGTATGCATGCTCAAAAAAAGAAAGTTTTTCATGTTCACATGTTCACAATGCGTGTCTAGATGTGAAAACTATGGGTGATTTTATTCCTTTTTAAAAAATTCATTTTGTATTTTCACGTATTCTTTACATGAATTCTATTATTTTTGGAAAAAAAAAGAAAACGGTCATGCGATGGCCCCCTCCTCCCAACTGGCCCCAAGAAGTCACCCGGTCAGCCAGCGAAGAGGAGGGCTGCTGCCCTGTCCTGCACCCTCTCCCTGCTCCAGCGAGCCCTGGAAGGGTGCTTTCAACTGGTCCTGCACCCTTGGCGTCCCTCTGAGCTCTGCGCACTGCTGAGGGGCTGATTCCCCCCACAAGACGAACCCAGTGTGTCCCCATGTGTCTTCCTCTTCTGTCCCCCTTATTCTTATCCACACCTACAGGCTCAGCCACAGGGCTCCCAGGCCTGACCACAGAGCAGAAGCACCTGGAACTTACATCTTAGAGGCAGCCCAGGCCCCTCCCCAGAATAGTGAGAGCCCAAATCACTGGCTATCAGTATTTTCAAAAAGGCCCCATGGGCCGGCCCCGTGGCTTAGCGGTTAAGTGCGCACACTCCGCTGCTGGCGGCCCGGGTTCGGATCCCGGGCGCGCACCGACGCACCGCTTGTCCGGCCATGCTGAGGCCGCGTCCCACATACAGCAACTAGGAGGATGTGCAGCTATGACATACAACTATCTACTGGGGCTTTGGGGGGAAAAAAATAAATAAATAAAATTATAAAAAAAAAGCCCCCAGGTGATTCCAAAGAGTAGCCAGGGCTGAGATCCTCCGAGCAGCCTGTCCATGAGAGTCACTCCTGCCTCTCTTCCCTGGGGTCTGGGGGCCACCCCTCCAGGCCTGCCCCCACTTGCAGCACGACAAAGGCCCAAGACCACAGCCCCTCACTCAGCTTTCCCCAGCTACACCCCCACCCCCACCATCCACGGCCTCCTCCTGTGATCCCAGGTCAGTGATTCTTCCCAGTTTAACAAGAGGATACCTAGAAAAATGATCAAGACCTGAAGATCTGAACCAGTGAAGGTGGAATTGGAGGCCAGCACAGAACCAGGCAGCTTAGGGCAAGGAGCTCTGCTCAACACATTTCAGATGCTACTCACGGGCAAGAGCAAGTTGTGTAAGCTCTTGCCTCCTGCCAGTTCCTCGGCCCACTCCCATCCACCATTCTTCAGTGGGTGGAGCTTCCAGACCCTCATGCTGCTGGCCAACCTCCAGAAGCTCTGTGGTTTATCCCTCCATGCACCTGGAGGTGCATGGGGAGGGAGGAACGCTAGCCCTGTCTCCTGGCCCTCTGTCCCTAGAGGCCAGTCACTGTTTCCCTCTCTCCCACTGGAGCCCAGCTCACCAGGATGGAGAGGATCACAGGCCCTCGGATGACCCACCAGATGGACGCATTGGCGTTGATGTCCCAGCACCTACGGAAGGACAGCCAGACATCGTTATGAGCAGGCAGCTGGGCTGACCAGAAAACGCTAGTTCCCCGAGGTGCCCTTCGTATGAAGGACCCACTCTTGTGGCCCTGACCCCTGTGGCTGTATGGTCAGCACCATTAGAACCGACCCACTCCTGCTGCCCAGGGGCACTGCTGGGGCTGAGGGAGTGGCCCCTGTCTCCATGCGTGCCCAGTGAGGGTCTGGGGAGCAGATGTGTGTGGAACCTCAGAGCCAGAAGATCCCAGATCCCAAAGCTAACACAGTAGCAAACTCGACTGCCAACAGTGGCCAGGCAGGTGACATCAGTGAGTGATGTGGCTGGGTGACTGACATGTGACCTCAGGACCCTGGGGACACCAGGCGTGGGGGGGACTTGGCAAACCAGAGAGCCAGTGCCAGGTCTAAGGCAGCCACAACTCTGCTCCAGCTGATTTTTGCCAAAAGAGAAAATGGGAAATATTGGTAGAACTATCCGTTTTTTCTGGAGAAGCTGAAAATCTAGATTTTAAGAAAAAAAGTGAATTCACCCAATTAAGAAAATTATTTTGAAACAATTATTTTGGGTTGAATTTGGACTGAAGATACTTGTAAGCCTTATCCGACCTAGTCCACTTCTCAGCCTGGTTGTGTCATCACGCCAAGGAGAAGCTGCCTCCCACTCTGCCGTGCTGCCTCGCTTCCTCCCTGGCTTCTCGCAGCCTTTCTTTCCCTGTGTCTACTCCCAGGAGGCCCCCCGGGCTCACCTCCATCCTCAGCGCCTCGCATCTTTCGAGGACAAGACTAGACCTCTTTGTCCCCATCAGGACTTGTTGAGAATGCTGCCGCTGCTCTCCTGCGCCTGGCTCTGCAGGACTCTCTAACACCCGGGGGTGGGGGGTGGTGGCGGGGGAGATCTCAGGAGGAAGGAAAAGCTGGTTTGGCCCTTAGAGCTTCCTCCCTGAGCAGCACCTGCCTGGAGTTTGGCAGCTTTGTCTGGCACCTGACCTAACCACAGAGCTGATAGGGCAGGAAGGGAGACAGGAAGGGAGGCAGGGAGGGTGCAGGCCTCAGCGCATCTGCAAACTCACGCCCCGGGGAGCTGCGCACTCAGCAGCCTCGCACTCCAGAGAACTCGCCTGTGGCCCCCAGTCTGAGAAACAGCCCTCTCATAGAGAGCTCCAAAGAAGTGTCCATCCCATTTGAAGAACTGGACAATATAAAATATACTTGTTACCTCTCCTTCAAACAGCTTACCCAACATCTTCCAGAAAGTGCCTGGCGACAGCCCACGAAGCAACAAAAATGGCTGGGGAACCTGAGGAGTAAAAATAAAGGGAGGGGCGGAGGAGAGAGGACTCAGCTGTCCACACCCGTATGAGGAACGGCACGGTCAGTTATCCCAGTCGAGGGAGGGAGCAGGTACCACGGAAACCCCCTTGTAAATCCTGTGTAAATGTGCAGCCTTGTGTTTCACGGGTAACGGGGATGCTCTGGGAACTGAGACAGGATCAGACGGATCCTGAAGGCTCCTAGGGGTTACGGGTTTCCCGGGAGCCTGGGCCAGACTCCAGAGGACCTCTGCAGAGAGGAGAGGGGATGGAGTGACGGTCTACACCTGTGCCATCCCGTACAGTGGCCACTCGCCACATGTGGCTATGGAGTACTTGGTATGTGGCTGGTCCCAATGGAGATGTGCTATAAGTGCAAGACAGATACCAGATTTTGAAGATTTATTTAGTACAAATAAAAGAAGGTAAAACATGTTATTAACAATTTTTATATTAATTATATGTTGAAACAATAATATTTTGATTATATTGGGCTAAATAAAATATATTATTGAAATTAATCTCACCTGTTTCTTTTTACTGTGATTGCTGTGGCTACTAGAAAATTTTAAGGTATATACGTGGCTCAGATTCTATTTCTAATGGACATGCTCGTCTATAGGCTGAATTGTAGGAGCCCCACGCCCAGGCCTCTCAGTTTTCAGACCTCTGGCAGCCAGGTCTCTCACCATGCTCCAGCCCTCCACCCCCAACCCCAGGCAGTCGATAAAAGGATTCTTCTCTGGAGGAACCAAACAGCCCCAGAGAATGGGCCTATAGAGAGCGATGCTGGGGGGGACTCCCCAATGCAGAGGCCACTTCCAGCCCAGTCTCCCTTGAGAGGCACACCCCGCCCCCCGACACAGGGCCTTCATTCGGCTCTGAAATGACTCATTCTTAAATATGAGCAGACAGTCAAGGTCCGACATCTGAGGAAAGCTGATTACATAAAAGACAAAGACCAAAACAACCCGAGAAAAGGAACTCAGAGGAAACAGACCATACAGGCTGCCGGCAGAACTTGAACCAAACAATTCCAAGGAATATCATCAGAGAGATAAAAGAAGAGATTACATCTGCCAGACACAAACAGGATGCTGGAAATAGGAGCACTCAGACAACAAGGAAGAGGGCTGAGAAATTGAATATATGATAATCAGATGAAAACATTTCATAGATGGGCTGGAAGATAAAGACCAGGAAAAGAGAAAGGCCAGAAAGCAGAACACCAAGAGTGGAATGAAAAGTAGGAGGAAAATAATGAGAAAATTAGAGGTCGATTCCAGGACATGCACCATCTGATTAAAAGTTTCAGAAAGAGAAGATAAAAACCAGAGGGAAAGAAATGAACAAATAGATACCGTAAGAACATGTCCAAGAAATGGAGGTGGGTTTCCAGATGAAAGGGCCACCAGATGCCAGCAAAAAGGATGAAAACAGACTTCCAGGGGGTGCATCCCTAAGACGTTCCAAACCGTAGGGCACAGAGAGAAGATCCTGCAGCTTATATACAGAGAGAGGAATAAAAAGACTCAGGAAACAGAATGACATGGCACGTCCCATAACCAGATGCCAAAACAGAAGGCCTTCAAAAGGCTGGGGGAAAATGATTTTTCAACCTAATTTCTATGCCCAGCAAAACTATAAATTAGGTGTGAAAGTTGAACAAAGATATTTTCAGATATGCAATGCAAAAAAATGTACCTTCCATGCACTCTTTGTTAGACAGATACTGGAGGATGTGCTCCAACACAGCTAGAGAGTAAACCAAAGAGAGAGAGACAAGAAATAAAGGAATAGGGTTTGTGGAGGGAAATGAAGGAAATTCTCAGCATGAAGGTTAAGAGAGTTGAGCAAGTCTAGAGAACAACTAGCCCAAATAGAGCAGGAGAGCAGAAGGTTCTAGAAAGAACATTAGTGGATATATTCAGGTGAATAGTATCCCCCCCAAATTCATATCTACTCAGAATCTAAGAATGTGACCTTATTTGGAAATAGGGTCTTTGCAGGTGTAATTAGTTAAGATGAGGTCATATTTATGAGGATGCCAATCATACTGGGACCCTAATCCAATATGACTGGCATGCTTATAAGAAGGCCATGAAAGGGGGTGGGGGAGAGAGAGGAGACACAGAAGGAAGAAGGTCACGCAAAGAGGGAGGCAGAAATTGGAGTAATGCAGCTACAAGCCCAAGAACACCAAGGATCGCCGGGGACCGCCAGAAGCCGAGAGACAGGTATGGGACAGATTATCCCTCAGAGCCCTCAGAAGGAATCGATGCTGCCAAAACCTTGATTTTGAACTTCTGGCCTCCAGGACTGTGAGAGAGTAAATTTCTGTTGTGTTGAGCCACCAAATTTGTGGCGATTCGTTACGGCAGCCCTAGGAAACTAATACAGCAGGAAAACACCAAACACAGGAACTAACAGATTTCCTGTTGCATTTGATGATTTGGAAAATAGCACTGGAGGATTTTCCAGTTCTGTTGGAGAATTTGGGAGAATTAATGACAGCAATACAAAACAAATAAGTAAATTAAAAATCACTCCATGGAAAACAAAAAGTAAAATATTGAAAGTATAATCATTGTACACCCCTTGGCTCAGTAGTAAACAATATTTACATAGACATGATGATGTACACATTGAATATGATTTAACCAAAAACTGTGAAAAACTCTAATGGGAGGATGGAGGTGGTGGAGGAAAAATTTTACATCCTTACCTTCCATCATAGTCAACAAATAATGCCTAAAATGGACAAATCAAGAAATAGCACAATATTGTTTAGAAACATGAGAGTAAATGTTAGGAGGAACAGCTAAAGAGTTGAAGGGTGTTACCTCTGGTGAGCAGAAGTGGGGGCAGGAGACTGTTTTTCTTTTCATTATAAGCCTTGTAGTCCTATTTAATTCTTTAAACAAAGTATATGCATGACTTTAATAAAAATAACAAATTTTTAAAAAATTCCCTGCCTTAATTTTGGGTGCTTTGGGCAAAGAACAAGGATTTTGAGAGCCACCCGTTCATTGTCTTCTGTCTTTAACAGAGAGTTGGTGGGAAAGTGTGAAAAACTAATAGCAGCTTTAGTCAGAGTTGTGTATTGGTTTGGTATGATTTCAAATCCACTTGTTCACGACAAGAGTGAAGTTATTTGGATGCAAGCAGGATGTTGTCAAGGCCACCTGCTATTGTCCATGAGCACTTAGTGGCTCGGCCGTTGCGGGGACCCACTAGGGGCTGATCAGTAAGAACGCCCGGAGGAGCAGCTATGGCTAGTGGACAAATGGAGTGGCTAAATGGCTAGACCAAGAGTTTGTGAGGACTCACCACGAGTGTTCAGTCCGGGCAAGGCTAACCTTTGCTGATCTAAATAGTTTCCCGAAGACCTTGGGGCATTAGCTCCTGCCTGGGCAAGGTGACTCTTTGCCACAGTCGTGCAATCCATGCAGCGGCCCGTGAAGGAGACTATCTTGCCCACCAACACCAGCGCCTTCGTTCCCTGGCAACGTGCTGTAGCAAAAGGGACTTTCACTTCCCGTTGGCAGTAGACTTCAGCTCTTGGTTGGCTAAGCCAACTCTTCCGAGAACCACCTCCTAGAAAGGCACACTTCAACTAAATTTGGACTTTATTTCTGTCATCTCCCCTTTGCCTGGAACAATAGTGTCATTAATCTATCATTGGTTTGTAGTATGTTATTTCTTTATGTTAAGAGATATCATCCTGTATACTATTGGCTTGTGGAATACATGCATACCTCAGAGATGTTACAGGTTAGGTTCTAGACCGCAGCAATAAAGTGAATATCACAATAAAATGAATCACACAAATTTTTTGGTTTCCCAGTGTATATAAAAGTTATGTTTACACTATACTGTAGTCTATTAGTTGTGCAATAGCACTATGTCCAAAAAACAATGTACATACCATAATTTAAAAATACTTTATTTATAACCATCATCTGAGCCTTCAGTGAGCTGTAATCTTTTTGCTGGTGGAGAGTCTTGCCTTGATGTTGACGGCTGCTCACTGATCAAGGTGGTGGTTGCTGAAGGTTGGGGTGGCTGTGGAAATTTCTTCCTTTTTTTTTTAAGCAATTTTTTTTTTTTTTGAGGAAGATTGGCCCTGAGCTAACATCTATTGCCAATCTTCCTCCTTTTTTTCCTTTTTTTCTCCCAAAGCCCCCAGTAGATAGTTGTATGTCCTAGTTGTACATCCTTCTAGTTGCTCTATGGAGGACGCCGCCTCAGCATGGCTTGATGAGCGGTGAGCTGGTCTGACCCCAGGATCTGAACCAGTGAACCCTGGGCTGCTGAAGCAGAGCACACAAATTTAACCACTATGCCACCGGGCTGGCCTCCTGTGGCAATTTCTTAAAACAAGACAACGATGAAGTTTGTCACATCAATTGACTCTTCCTTTCATGAATGATTTCTCTGTAGCATGTGATGCTGTTCAGTAGCATTTTACCCACAGTAGAACTTCTTTCAAAATTGGAGTCAATCCTCTCAAACTCTGCGGCTGCTTTATCAACTAAGTTTAGGTAATTTTCTAAGTCCTTTGTTGTCATTTCAACGATCTTCACAGCATCTTCACCAGGAGTAGAATCCATCTCAAGGAACTACTTTCTTTGCTCATCCATTAGAAGCAACACCTGATCTGTTCAAGTTTTATCATGAGATTGCAGCAATTCAGTCACACCTTCAGGATCTCCTTCTAATTCTAGTTCTTTCGCTATTTCCACCACATTTGCAGTTACTTCCTCCACTGAAGTCTTGAACCCTTCAAAGGCATCCATGAGGGTTGGAATCAACTTCTTCCAAACTCCTGTTAATGTTGATATTTTAACCTCTTCCCATGAATCAAGAATGTTCTTAATGGCATCTACAATGGTAAATCCAGAGGTTTTCAACTTTGCCCAAATCCATCAGAGGAATTGCTATCTATGAGAGCTATAGCCTTATGAAATGGATTTCTAAAATAATAAGACTTAAAAGTTGAAATTACTCCTTGATCCATGGGCTGCAGAATGGATGTTGTTTTAGCAGATATGAAAACAACATTAATCTCATTGTACATCTCCATCAGAGCTCTTGGGTGGTCAGGTGCATTGTCAAGGAGCAGTAATAGTTTGAATCCTTTTTTCTGAGCAGTAGGTCTCAACACTGGGCTTAAACCATGTTGTAAACAGATGTGCTGTCATCCAGGATTTGTTGTTCCATTTATAGAACATAGGCAGAGTAGATTTGGCATAATTCTTAAGAGCCCTAGGATTTGCAGAAGATTAACTGAGCATTGGCTTCAACTTAAAGTCACCAGCAGCATTAGCCCCTAACAAGAGAGTCAGCCTGTCCTTTGAAGCCAGGCATTGACTTCTCCTCTCTAGCTATGAAAGTCCTAGATGGCATCTTCTTCCAGTATAAGGCTGTTTCATCTACATTGAAAATCCGTTGTTTAGTGTAGCCGCCTTCATGAAGTATCTTAGCTAGATCTTCTGGATAACTTGCTGCAGTTTCTACATCAGCACTTGCTGCTTCACCTTGCACTTTTATGTTATGGAGACGGCTTCTTTCCTTAAACCTCATGAACCACCCTCTGCTAGCCTCAAATGTTTCCTCTGCAGCTTCCTCGCCTCTCTCAGCCTTCACAGAACTGAAGAGAGTTAGGGCCTTGCTCTGGATTAGGCTGTGGCTTAAGGCAGTGTTGTGGCTGGTTTGATCTTCTATCCAGACCACTAAAACTTTCTCCATATCAGCAATGAGGCTGTTTGGCTTTTTTATCATTCATGTGTTCATGGGAGTAGCACTTTTAATTTCCTTCAAGAACTTTTCCTTTGCGTTCACAATTTAGCTAACTGTTTGGCACAAGAGGCCTAGCTTTCAGCCTGTCTCAGCTTTCGACATGCCTTCCTTACTAAGCTTAATTATTTCCAGCTTTTGATTTAAAGTGAGAGACCTGCAACTCTTCCTTTCACACGGACACTTAGAGGCCACTGAAGGGTTATTAACTGGCCTAATTTCAATATTGTGGTGTCTCAGGGAATAGGGTGGCCCGAGGAGAGGAAGAGAGACGAGGGAAGGGCAGGTCAGTGGAGCAGTCAGAACACACACATTTATCGATTAAGTTAGCCATCTTATATGGGTGCAGTTGATGGCGCCCCAAAACAATGACAATAGTAACATCAAAGATCACTGATCACAGATCACTATAACAAATATAATAATAATGCAGAAGTTTGAAACATTGCAAGAATCACCAAAATGTGACACAGAGACACGAAGTGAGCAAATGGAAAAATGGCACCGATAGACTTGTTCGATGAAGGGTTACCAGAGGCCTTCAATTTGTAAAAAACAGTGTCTGCAGAGCACAATAAAATGAAGCACAATAAAACGAGGTATGCCTGTATTACTATTATAAATTATAATTCCCACAGCAAAGCTGTGTGAAATAAATTATTGGCAAAGACAATCTCAGTCTCCGAGGATAATTTGCCACGGACAAAACAAGGGTTCCCAGTGTGGCCCCTGGACCAGTATGTCCAGGTCCCTTGGAGCCTTGTTAGAAGGCAGTCTCTGGCTCCACCCCTGGCCCACTGGCTCAGAGATTCGGGGTGCGGCTCAGCCAGCTGGGGTTGACACGCCCTCCATGTGACCCCAAAGCCGGCACCAATTGGAGAACCACCAGTTTAAGTTCCCTCAGTGAGTGAAGCTGGGTTCATCCCCATAAAAGCCAGAGGTGTCACTCTTTTCTGGGCATAGACTAACACCCCAGTCACCTTGAAAAATTAAAAGCTTGTATAAGTATTAAAAACCTTAAAGATATTCACTCTGTCTAACTCAGTGATCTCAATTCTAGGATTCTACATTACATGGAATAAGCTTTGCTTATAAAATATTCATCATTGTGTTATTCATAATAGTGAAAAATTAGAAACAATCTAAACGTCCAAATAATAAGTATTTGATTAAATACATCCACAGAGTAGTTAAAAATGTTTATGGAAGAGTTTAAAGAATACAAAGCATGCTTATGTGTTAATGGAAAGAAGCAAGATTCAAAATTCTGCATACCAAATGACCACAACTATGTGGGGAAAACCGTGAGTAGGAAAAAAGTCTGGAAGGAAACCCCAGAAAATGTTCAACAGATGGGACTAGGGTAATTTTCTTCTATTTAAAAAATAAATTTTTTTTTGCAAAGTTTTACAGGGGGCGTGTACTCATTTAAGCAACCTGTCTCTGGGGAAAGGAGCTGAGTACAAATTGAGGAGGGGCCCCTGCTTTTGCAACAGAAGGGCCTCTCACAGCTGGAGAGCTGCCGACTTTCTGAGCCGACCTTCATTCAAACCTCCTGAACACCTGTGACAGAGATCTTAGAGCAATTTTGTCTCCCCACCAGACTACAAACCCTTTGAGTGATGGAACTGTTTCTGTTTTGTTTTGTTTTTTTGTAATGTCTATAAGCCCCTCTGAGCACACAGAAGTGCTCAAAGAATGTTGAATTAATTATGATCCTGATAGTAGAGATGATGAAACTGTCCATGTTCACACGGTGAAATCCTGGCAGATCTGGGATTCAAGGCTCAGTGAGTTGGGCTCCAAACGGGGCTTTTTTGCAGAGTCGGCTGCATAAGGCAAGTCCCTGGTCCCCAAACACTCTGGGACTACTGGCCTATGCAGATATCCAGAGATCAGCAGAGCCCTACAGCTCCCGCTGGCCAAGGGTCATGTGCTAATCAGGCTGCCAAAGTCCAGAAGCAGGAGGGCACAGCCAGCTCTGCCAGCTCAGGTGACTTCCATGATGGACTTCTCCGATGAGGAGACAGGGCCCTTGCACATAAGGATTTAGACAAGCAGAAAAGACAGTGGAGGGCATTCCTGGCTGGGGCTCTTCTTAATTAAAGGCACCAAGAAGAAACCAAATGAAGCAAATGGCTGATACACATGACCATCCCTATACACCTGTGAGTCACTCACAGGAACCTGGCTTTCTGTCTAGAACCCAGTGGGTAATTTACATATGTTTATCAAATGAGCAATGGATGAATGGATGGATGGATGGATGGATGGATGGATGGATGGATGGATGGATGGACGGGTGGATGGATGGATGGATGGGTGGGTGGACAGGTGGACGAATGGATGGATGGGTGGGTGGACAGGTGGACGGATGGATGGATAGGTGGGTACATGGGTGGATGGATGGATGGATGGGTGGGTGGATGGATGGGTGGGTGGATAGATGAATGGGTGGGTAGATGGATGTTTGTTAATAGCAGAATAAGAGTTAAGGGGTTTTGGAAATAGACAGACCTTGGTTTGAGTCCTGGGTCTGCCCTTGTCTACAGTGTGACCTGAGCAAGTTACGTCACGTATCTGAGCAGAGGTTTCTCTGAGAGGCCTCTGGGGGTTGTTTTGATGATTAATAATAATCCATGGAAAGCGCTGAGCTCATGCCTGGCACATAGTTAGTGCCCAAGAAATGAGAATTGTTATCATCTTCATTGACCAGAAAGGAAAGGGGGAAGAAATGTAATGGGGCTTGCAGTTGGCTCTCTTGCTACCATTTCCCTCCTTCCTAGAAACTGAATCCTGGTTTCCTTTGGGAAGTCATGTGGTTTAAGTAGCTTAAGTCCATCAGTGTAGTCTATCCCCTCAGGCCTCTGTGATTGGTTCAAGGATGTGTATGAGACTTAAGCTGGTCCAATCAGAGTGAACCTCGGAATATTTGCTGAGAATGCTGGGACACAGCCTCCTTTCTCTCATTAGATGTAACGAGGAGGCCAGTAGCTCAGCAGCTGCTGGCAGTTACATTGGAAGCACTAGCCTAACGAGAAAGCCAATATTACAGAAGCAAAGTAGAAAGACAGAAAGAAACATTGTTGAGCTGCTAGATTCAGCTGCATCTGAAGTTGGTGATCTCTGGACTCTTCAGTTATATGAGCCAATTAATTTCTTTTATGTTTAAAACCTATCTAGGGCAGATTTTCTGACACCTACAGTCAAAAGCACCCTACAGAAAGGACACGAGAATAAGGACATATGAATGGAATGTCACAAAGATGAGGCAACAAGTGTTGGGTGGTATCAAACGGTAAAAGGCTTTGGATGACAGAAGTTGGGGCTAAATTTTAGCTAGTATTTCCCATTTGACAGATTAATAAACTGAGGCCAGAGAGTTAAACATCAAGCAACTTGTCTAAGATTACACAAGTTAGCATTAACTAAGTGTGGAGCTGGAACTGGAAACCAAATCCTTCTGGCTCAGTGCCCTTTCCCAAACCACACAGCCACTCTACCCATGGAGAAACATACCCCAGCCGAGGGCAACAAATCCCTGGAGGCACTTCCTCTCTGAGAAGAAGGAGATGATGAGGAGTGTGTGAAGGTAGAGGCCTTCCACCAGCAGCCAGGCGTAGTTGGCCATGATGCAGTACTGGAAGAAGACCATGACCAGCTTACAGCCCACCTGGACAGAGAGAGGCAGGTGAGTCACAGGCTGGGTGACCTGCAGGTTTCCCTTTGGTGCCCAGCCCCAAAAGAAGTGACAGGGTGTGGGAGGGATCAGGGGCCAGGCTACAGAGCAAGCCTCTGAGGCCCATGGCCATCCCCTGTGGCCTTCCACTATCAGAAGACCAGGCCCACAGAACCTCTAGAGAGTGGAAGTCCACAGGCCAACAGCCTTGGTCAAGATGGTCAATGGGCCATCACAGAAGCAGGAAGTGCATAAAATTCTGGAACTGGCTGCCACTTGTAAAACTGTGTCAGATACTGCTCAACTCCCAACTCCACCATTTTTCAGATGAGGAAACTGAGGCCTAGAGAATAAAAAGGATTTCTGAGCAAAGAGTTAACAAATTCTTTCCAAGCTCAGTTTCCCTGGAAACAGATGAAGAAGGGACATGCCAGCGACGTTAGAAGGCAACATTGATTCTAGGAAAAATGGCCCCTGGCTGGTACACTGGAGACCTCTAAATACCTGATGGGGATGCCACGGTGTTGGCCTTCCCTCACGCAGTGACTCTTATAACAGGCATGTCCCTCGCAGGGATCCCTGGAAACTCTGCCTATGGATTTGTGGGGCATTAGGCTTGTATGCCAGCACAGCTCCAAATCCATCCTGTGAGGTCTCCTTTCCCTTCACTGAGCTGTCCCCTGGGGAGAGGACCTCCTGGGATGGCCCGAGGGCTGCTGCATGGATTGCTGCAAGAACATGTCCGTCATTGGCCTGGTGCCGCCCTGCTGGCCAGCTGTGTGCCTGCCCTGTGGCCTCCTATGGACTCTGATTCCAGGCGTGGCCCAGAGTTGGCTTGTGAGTCTGATGTTTAGTGGAAGCTGAGAAGGTTCCCTGCTGGACGTTGCTGGACTTTTCCACTGCTGGTCGGTGACGGGGCGGGGCCTGAATTTAATCTCCTGACTCCCGGTCACCTGCTCTTATTTCATCCTGGAAATCTCCCTGAGACACGTGGGCCCTTCTTGAGGGGCCGCTCAGTTTTCGTCAGAGAATACACACACACACACACACACACACACGCTAAAAACTATAAACAATGCAAAGTTAACAGATCTGTAAGGAATCACAGATGTGAGTGGCGAGAAGTCACAGGCAGGTTGACTGAAGCAATCTCAATTTCTGGTCCCTTTCTCCCTGCTTGCCTCTGCTGTGGAGACTACCATAGCGGAAAAACAATCTCCCAGCTTCCTTCGCAGTTAGGTGTGGTCACATGACACAGTTCTAGCCAATGAGACATAGATAGGAGTCTCAGAGAAGGCATTCTTTCCCAAATGAAAAGGCAAAGCCTCCCAAAGAGAAAAAATGTTTAACCTTGACTTTACTCCTTCTTGTCTGGAACATGGACGTGAGGCCTGGGGTTGCAGCAGCCATATTGCAAACATGCAGTGTAAAGCATGGAATCAAGGATGGCAGAGCAGAAAGAGGGAAAATGACTGTGTCCATCATGGCATCATGGAGCCACTGTGCCACCTCTGGATTGCCCATCTGTGGACTGCTTACGTGTGAAAAAAAACCCATCTGTTCAAGCCACTGATGTGCAGTTTTCTGGTATGTCCAGCAAAAGGGATTTCCAACTGACACATGGGTGATATTGCAATGAACTAAGACTCATCTCAGCATTCAGAAGGAGGAAGAGGTTTAGATTTAACAAAACATGATTGTTTTACTGAAGACCTGTGTATGCAGACACATGGGCATATGCTCACCCTTTTCTTCCTACAACCAACCCCAACCCTCCCTAGACTTGGTCATTTATCTACAGCTGGGATCTGGCAGGATTAGGGAAAAGAGGAGTCTCTCTGTGCATCTAATTCCCAGAGTGGTGAATCCACTCCCGGACACTGGGAGTTGAACAGCAGCCCCCATGGGCTTCCCAACAAACTGTTCTCATATGTGACCTAAATTGTGCCTGTGGGGACACAGGATTCTCCCGAACTTCCTGCCAGCCCCAGTGCTGGCCCCTTTACCCTAGGCATTAAGTGCCGCCTCAGTATGGACTCAGGGGAAGGACAACTGGGCTGCCACCTTTCCACAGTTAGGCTGGGGGAGGCAGGCAGGCCTGGCCACATCCTGGGGCATGCGGGCCTGTTACCCTGTGGGCATCGCAGTGGGTGACATCGTCCGAGGAGAAGAGCACGGCATCCTTGATGAAGTTGGAGAGGGCGCGCAGGATGAACGACACAAACAGGTGCATGTGGATGTAGTTGCGGGTGCAGTGGAGCCTCCTGGAGGGAAAGAACGTGGGGCCGTGGGCACCAGAGTCAGGAGAGGCTGGGGCTCAGCCAGGCCCGCTCCTGCCCCAGTGTGCTTTCCAGGTCACACAGCTCTCTGTATCTCTGTTGGCAGAGCCTGAATGAGAACCCGGGCCCCCAGACGCCCAGTCTACCCTATCTCATTTTGCAATTAAAAAAAAAGCTGGGGGTATAGGAGCAATGCTGTATTCTGCTCTGACCTACCACCATCTCAGCTCCCAGAATCGTTAAGAAGAGTGAGCGGTGTGGGAGGCACGCAACCATTTGGGAGGGGGAGAGCGGCAGAGAAAGAACACAGGCTGTGGGGAGAAATCAGACCCAGGCTCTGCCACTTAGGAGCTACAAGACCTTGAGCAAGCCTCTTCCCCTCCCAGAGCCTGGGTTTCCTCCTCTGCTGCAGGGGTCAGAAGTCTGTAACTTGTTCCCTGTCTTCTGGGACCAGAACCAGGCTTTCTTATGGGGAACTATTCCAGCTCTGGGGAAGGGGTGACTCCACCCTTCCATCCTCAGACCGGACCAATCAGACCTCCCCATCCCTGGCTGCATGATTGGCTCAGGGTTGGGCATGCGACCCAAGCCAGCCCTATAAGAAGTCCCCCAGGACTTTCATTGCAACTAATGGGGAAGAGGCCCTCTTTGCCCTGGCGTTGCTGAGCTGGTAGAATGTACCCCTGCAGCTGCTGGTGGTTGTCTCTGCCACCCCTGAAGAAAGCCTGCCTGAGGATGAGGCCAACGCAGAGTGGAGAAATGGAGGGAGACAGACCTAGTTCTGCTGATAGCTTTGAACATCTAGATCCAGCCATGCCTGAAGCCAGATGTCCCTGAACTTGTCAATTATGTGGTTCAGGTCATTTTTATTTTTCTTAAGCTGTTTTAAGGTGGATTTCTGTTTCTTGAAACCAAGAGTCTGGCTAATACACTTGTAATATGGAGGGTAATGATACCTATCTCATAGCATTGTGTGAAAATTAGAAATAATACATGTTAAAGCAATTGGTGCAGTAAGTTCTTAGTAATGCTCAGTAAACGTTGAATGAATGAAAGAATGAATACGGTCATGGGAACTTCGATGTTTTGCCACAGGTAAGCTTTAGATCAAGAAGTGATAAAGTTGCCCACACAGACCTTCCTCTCTCTGGCCTCAGCAATGAAAAGAGACCCAAAGTCTGCGCCCGGGGAAGGCTGGGGAGGCGGAGAGCTGGCAGCGTGTTCTCACCGGAAAGCACAGAGGATGCTGAGGGCGACCAGGAGCATCACCAGGGAGGAGCTATAGCCCACGGTGTACATGACCTTCAGCTTCAGCAGGTACTCGTGCTGCAGAGAGAGACAGGTGTGTGTCAGCCCCACTCGCCCACCTGGCTGGCTCTGCCCTTTTCTGCCCCAGAGTGGACCTGCTTCAGGCTTCAGGGGTTGAAGGGGTTCAACTCTGACTGCTATTCTGTTCATACCCCAAGGACACCAATTCATAGACTCCTAACATCTTAACTTTGGAAAAGATCTTGGGGATCATCTGATGCCAATTCAAACTTCTATCCCATGTAGAAGGCCCCTTACCATCACTCTGAATTCAAGCCTTTGCTTGAATACCTCCAGGGACAAGGTGCTCACTGCCTTTCAAGGAAGTTAATTGGTATACAACAGTATAAAATATTAGATAATTTTTTCTCATGTGAAGTTAAAATCTATTACTTTTAAATTGTACCTATTGGTTCTTTTTCTGCTTCTGGAGCCACTTAAACTGAATTTGTCTTGTACTGAAGGTCCATCATTATTTTAAAAATAAACTTTTCATTTTAGAATAGTTTTTTAGACTTAGAGAAAAGTTATGAAGATCATCCAGAGAGGCCTGTCATTTCTTAATACAGCTATTCTGCCTATTCGTCCCTCACATATTTTCTCAGCATTAAATATTCCCTGTATCTTTAATCTCTTTTCCACAACCCTTCACCATTTTGCTCAAGTAATATACTCCAGTTTGTCAACGTCCTTAAATAAGATACCCAGAATCAGATAGCTGAGAAGCTCCAATGTGTTCTCTGACCAGGAAGAAGTAGAATGGGATCATCACCTCCCCCGATCTATACACTGCACTCTTATTAATGCAACCAAGCAGGCATTTACTTAAGCAGCCACGTCACACTATTGGCTCATCTTTCATTCACAAAGATCTCAAGGGACTGGAATAATGGGCAAAAAATTAAATTGTGACATGTTGTGATAAATGTAAAAGCCTGCAATTTTTAGGTTCAAAAAAATAAATTGTACAACAATCTTAAGAAGAATCAAGGAAATGAAAATTAAAACAATAATGCTATACCATTTTTTACCAACAAAATTAACAAATATTTCAAAGTAATAATATTCCATGAGGGTATAGTGAGGGTATTGTGGGAGTGAAGATGCGTTCACTCTCTCTGGAAAGTAGCACGTATCAAGAATCTTTGAAATATGCATTCCTTTTGACCCCCCGCCTACCTCTAGAGATTAATTCTAAGAAATAATCAGAGACATAAAAACATATTTCAATATAAAGATGTTTATCACAGAACTATTTGTGAAAAACACTCAAATGTCCAACAATAAAAGAATCATTAACAAAATTATTTTAAACCAAAATTATTTTAATGTTATGCCACTGTTAAAATGCTGCTTACCAGGAGTTTTAAAAGACATCATGACATGCTAAGAACATAATGTTAAGTGAAAAGGCAGAATACAAATTTTACATGTACAGTATGATTCCCGTTATATGCAAAAAAAAAAAAGTGTTAGCTTGGGGCTGGCCCCCGGGCCTAGTGGTTAAGTTTGACGTACTCCACCTTGGTGGCCAGGGTTTGGTTTCTGGGCTCGGACCTACACCACTCGTCAACAGCCATGCTGTGGTGGCAGCTCACATACAAAAAAAAAATAGAGGAAGATTCGTACAGATGTTAGCTCAGGGCGAATCTTCCTCAAGCGAAAAAAAGGATTAGGTTGAATTATACGAAATTGCCCTTTTTTGTAGATCAAAAATGATTGACCGTAAGGAGATGTGTCAGATGTTCATAGTGGTAAGCTTTGGGTGATAAGTTTGCAGATAGAGTTGTTACTTTCATTTGTATTTTTTCTATGCTTTTCATTTTTCTACTGTTGGTAAGTACGATTTTATAACCAGAAGAAAAGGGTAATTAATTTAAAAAAAAAAATAGGCACAAGAATAGTGTGAGGGAAACCTAGTGTTAGGGAAACAGCTGTTCATATGAAAATGACCTTGAGGAGAGAATGGCCCCTGCTCCACGGTGGTAGAGGAGTGGATTGCCAAGAAAGAACACAGGCTCGGAGCCAAGAGACAAGGGTTCCAGACCCAGGACTGGTACTCACCAGCTGTGTGACCTTGGGCAAATTACTTAACTTCTCTGAGCCTTAGATTCCTCATCTGCAAAATGGGGATAATATCTACCTTGCAGGCTGGTTGGAAAAACAAACAAGGCATCAGGTAGAGTATCTAGAAAATGCGTGGCACTTAGAAGACACTCAATGCATGTTCATTTTCCCCCGCTCCGTGTGTCAACCTACAATCTTGCCGTGTGCAGGCCCAGAGCCGAGGGCCTCAGCCTCACTCCCAGGGATGCCTGGTTTTGCAGCCCTCAGTTCGGGAGCAGTTTGGGCCAGCCTGTGGCAGCATGAGGAGGCACGGTGACAAGGGTTCAGGCTGAATATTCTGTACCATCTTGTGGCTGGGGTCATTGTCTGCCAGGTGATCCTCAGGACACCTGGGCCAGCTCTCATGCAGACCCGTTCCTGCCTGTGTCTTTAAAGTCTGACCCAGAAAGAGCCCTGTCCCAGGAGGCCTGACATGACCTCGCTGCCCCCGCCCCTGACATCTGCAACTGTGCACCACCCCCAGATGATTTGGGGTCTAGACACCTCACTGCCATCTGTCCTGGATCAAGTTGCCTATCTCCCTGCTGTGTATTCCCCTTCTTCCTGTATCCTCTAGATCAAGGCTCAGCAGGCTTTTTCCATAAAAGGACAGATGGTAAATATTTTAGGCTTTGGGTGCCATTCAGTCTCTTTTGCAACTACTCAACTTTGCCATCGTAGTGCAAATGGCTGTGGCTGTGTTTCAATAAAACTTTATTTGCAAAAGCAAGTGGTGGGCCAGATTTGGCCCAAGAGCTGTAGTTTGCCAACCTCTGCTCTAGGTAAGCAAACCCCATTTTATTTACCCAAGTGGCAGGTGTGCCTGGTCTTTCTGCTAATCTGAGTCCACTATTGCGTTTGTCAAAAATAGAGCAGTGTGTGCCAAGTAAAAAGTTGAAAAAAGACAACCAAAAATGCATATTTTCACCATCACTTGATTAAAAGAAAAAAAGACATTTCAACAATAAGAAATCAGGATGATTCAAATCTTAGAATAAATGACAAAGTTTGTGCCAGTTTACAGACCAGCATTCAGGGACCAGTGAATCATGTCTGGAAACCCTTCTAATCTTAGTGATTTTTATTTATTTTATTTTTTTATGTGAGCTGAAGCTAAGGTAAGTTTCCTTTCCACTATTTTTGGAAAATTAATTTTCTGAGTTAAGTCCAGAACTTTGCATTTATCTTTGTTAAATTTCAGCTCCAAGTTTTGGGATGTTAACAGTTTCAACTCTACCATGAACATCATAACTAAAGCCCCAGGCTCCATTCTTTCACAGCCAATTAGTCTAAGTCAACAGTTCTCATGTGCGGTTTTCATAGATATAACTCACAAAAACAGAAGCTCTTTGGGGTCCTCAATAATTCATAAGAGTGTAAAAGGGTCCCGTGGCCAAAAAGTTTGAGAATCGCAGGCCTAAGCCAATCATGTCTCTCATCCCTCTGCCAGGGATGGTCCAGGGGTGGGCAGGCTCAAGTCACTTTGGGCCAATGAGATGTGAGGACAGGTTTGCCGGAGGTTTGGGTAAGAAGTTTTCTTGCTCTTAGGAAGGAGCCGTAGGAAGCCAGGCTGTCCCTCCTCCCAGACAGGCAGGCCTGGGAAGTCTTACAATGGGAGGGGTGCCAGCCCCGGGAAGAAGCCACCAGGATGCAGGAGAGACAGAAAGGACCTGGTCCTTGGTGGCTTTGCGGTGCTGCTTCATCAGAGTCCTGACACCTTTCTCTGCACCCCTAGTTACAGGAGCCACATTTGCTTATTAAGCCAGTTGGAAATTTCTGTTATTTGCAGCCCAAAGCAGCCTTTTGAACCTCCATCCTGCTACCCATCATAAGAATGTTCTCTCCTAATCTTATGGATTTTACAAATTTTACACATAAGCCCCCTTCTTCATATAAGTCAATGAGAGAAATGGTAATCTGCAGAAGTCAGAGCCTACCCACGACCCCTCCAAAACCATCTGTACCCACTGATCAATCCTTGTTGGATCCCATTATTAAATTAGTCCACTCTGGCCAGATCTGAAGACCTCATGTGTTTCCTCCAATTGAATGACAAGCCCTGGGAGGGAAGAAACTTCATGCTCCATCTTGGTCCCCCAACCAGTCTCCCTCGTATAGAGCAAGACTGATTGGCTATAGAGAGAGGAGTCTTCGAAAAAACTCAGAGGTGGCTATGATCTGCCTCCCAACTTCATCCTTTCTCCCTTAATTCTGCTGCTCCCCCTCCATGCTTCTGTAACATCCTACCTTACCCTCCAAGGGACAAGCAAGCTTGTCCATGGTATTCCCGCTGGGGATTTTAGCTCTTGGAGCTGTTAAAGTGCATCTCCCAGGGGGCACACATCTTAATGAGGAGGTGGCAGAAGACAGAGGATGAAGCACTGGCTCTTTGTGGAACTAGACTTGGTTTGACTCCTGCCTCCACTGCTTTCTAAGCATGTTCCTTAACCCCTCTGAGCCTCAGTTTCCTCATCTGCAAAATGGAGAAAATACTGAACTAACAGTGAATCCTTTTGAGGATTTAATGTAACTGTGCATTACGCAGCTGACACATGGTAGATGTTCAGTATATCGATAAACACTTATTGGGTCCTTTGCAGGTGCCAGGCATTGTGGGGGCACTGGGGGCCTGGAAGTGAGTAAGCCTCTTTCTGATTCATCATTGCTCTATCTCTGCGCCTAGACTCATGCCCGGCCCAGAGTAGGTGCTCAATCAATGTTTGTTGAGTGAATGAAAGCCTTTGAGGAGCTGATGCTTTAGTGAGAGAGGTGGATGCACACGGCACATGCTGATTATTTAATATACCATGGTGAGTAGTAGCTGGAGGCCAACACGGAGCATTAAGGGAGCCCCTCCTGTGGGGAGGGGAAGAAAGGGCTTTCCGGAGATGATGGGCTGGAGTGAGTCTTTTTTTTATTTTTTATTTTTTTAAATTTATTTCTTTTTCCCCAAAGCCCCAGTAGATAGTTGTACGTCATAGCTGCACATCCTTCTAGTTGCCGTATGTGGGACGCGGCCTCAGCATGGCCAGAGAAGCAGTGTGTCGGTGCGCGCCCGGGATCCGAACTCGGGCCGCCAGCAGCAGAGCGCGCACACTTAACCACTAAGCCACAGGGCCGGCCCTGGAGTGAGTCTTGAAGGATGTGTACCAATCAGTCAGGAAAAGCGAGGAGGGAAGGGTTCTCTGCCACAGAGGGCCTTCAGGGGGGGCCTCGGGAGGCACCCGAAGAAGCTCAGCCCACAGCTCACAGCGTTCTTTCTCAGACCAGGGCTGCCCTGCGCCGGGCTCTCTCCTTCCCCTCAGAGCTTCTGACTCCCTTGAGAGCAAACGTTCATTGAGCACTTACTATGGCCAGGCACCTTCCCAGCACTTCCACATATTAACCCACTTAGTTCTCTTGACAGGCCTGTGAGGGCAGAACTATTATTAACCCCGTTTTCCTGATGAAGAAGCCGAGGCACAGAGAAGTCCTCCCCGCCTCCCCCAGGTCACAGGTCGGGGTGCAGACTCATGAGCCTGGCTCCGACCATTTAGCCACTATGTCGCTTCTCTTTTGGTTTCATGACTAAATCACCCCAGTCTCGCGGTGGCACACGGCAGTTCTCTCTGTGCCATGGTCTTCATGACCGTCATCTCCAGGTGATAGACCAGGGCAGTGAAGCCCACTGAACCCCAGGCGATGAGCAGGGGAGGGGTGGGTGAGACGGGCAGCCCCCAGGCCACCTGACCTTGGCCCTGGGCTGGCTCCACTCTGCCCCCTCCCAGGGACCTCTCACCCTGCAGGCCCCATCCCAGAACCGAGGGGGTTGACAGGCTTACCCGCTTCTCGTTGGACGAGTCATTCACGGTAACCCCACAGGCCAGGTCAGGCCTGGGGAAGGTTTCCGACCAGCCGCCCTGTGTGCAGTTTCGAAACATGGAACCTGTGGGTGCCAAGCATCCTGTGTGTGAGTGGTGGGGACCAGGGACAGACATCCAGGTCTTCTGGGCACCTCTGGCCATGCCTTAGGGGCAGCCCGGAGCTTCCTTCTGTCACTCTGTCCCCGGCCACCTTTCTCTGAACCACACAGTCAGCTCCCAGTTGGCCCAGCTGATCCTTCAAGAATATGTAAGAGTCAGTCAGGAGAAGTGGTGGGAAAGGTATGCAGGCAAATGGTCCGAGAAGGGGCAAAGACCCGGATGAGTGTGCGTGTGTGTGTGAGAGAAAGAGACAGACCTGCTGATCCTTGATACCTCCATCTACAAACCAGGCCGGTCCTGAACAAATACCCCTCCCAGCCTCTAAGCACTGCTTGTCTCCCTCCCGGGGTCGCCTTGGCCTCACCTACACACCCACATCTCACAACCCCACATCCCACTGTGCCAAGCGCGGGGGCTCCAGAGACAAGGCAGGCTGATTGACACGTGTCACAGTATTCAATACTCCCAACAACCCTTCTCAACCAGACCCCAGGCCCCCACAGAACTTCCGTTCCTGCTCCCCACCCCAGCTTGTTGCGCTCAGGGCCTAGCCCCACTCCAGGAATCTCTTAGACCCCTGTGCCACTGCAGCCCACTTCACTCTGAGCCTGTCCCCTCCTTGCCCTTCCCTCCCCAGGCTTCAAACTCAGCAACAAGGTCACTCAGCACTCCAGAAGGAACTACCACTCCCTACCCTCCACCCCCACTGGTTGAGGTGCCACTTCCGGATTTTTGAGAGTTTTCCCAAAGCAGAGGGCTGCTCCCCCACCCCCAACATGGGTGCTCACTGCAGAATCATAATAAAACCTTCATACTAGTAGGACATAGTTACTTTTTCAAGGGATTGTAGTGTCTCATACGATTAAGGAAGCTGAATGTAGTGCTTAAGAACAGTAGTCCCCAGAAATTTTGATTACACACCCCTAAACCAAAAAGTGTTGATCTCATACTCTAATGATTGTGTGTTTACCAAATTATAAGATTTCATGCTCTACTGTAATAATGGTAATTGCTATGTGCCAGGCACTGTTGTAAACGTGCGACAGGTATTAAGTCATTTAATCCTAACAAGACTATGAGGCAGGTACTGTTACTTTCATAGTAAAATCTATTGTACCACGGAAACACTACAACCATTTTGCAGTCGGGGAAACTGAGACACACACCCTGGTAGGTGGGGGAAATGGGACTGAAGCCTGAGGCTCGGGCCCACAGGCTTAGCCACACACTACGTACTGACCCCTTCCTTACCACTGCTGGCACTTTTCGGACTCTCAGGTCCTGCTACCATTTAAGGGGTGGATCCCCCACAGAAGCTGGCGTGGTTGTCAAGGACCTGGCCATCCCCATAATGAGCTTTTCTCAGGCTGCTGGTACTACTTCTGCAGCAAGGAAGTTCTATTTTATGTCTAACTTCACACCCTGCTTCCCAGCATCTGAAAATCACTGGAATAGCACCGAGATAAAACTTCCAGGCAGCCTCCCCTCACGGAAGGGACAGAATGGAGTTATTAGTCCTTTAGCCACGGTGACAAGGCCCACCTCTGCATTATGAACCACAAGACAACTGCAGCCCCCGCCGTCACCCCCACAGAGCTCATCGCCCTGCACCTCCAGCACGTGGCTGCACCCTGCACCCCTCACGCAGTGGCGACCACAGCTTCCCTGCCTCCCCCAGCAGAGGACGGGTTCCTGAGGCTCCCCAGTACCTGCCCAGCGCCCTCGCTCATCAAACCTTTGCTGGTTGCTGGCTGGCTAGAAAAGCAAAGGGGTGGGGATGAAGAGCCGCTCTACGCTTTTCTACGTGAGGAGAGGGAAGAGCTTGCCCCGAGGAGCCTTCAGAGCAGGAGCCCGAAGGCTGGGGAGGGGAGCTGCCAGACGAGAAGGAAGTCTTGGAAAGCCACCAGGAGTTGTTTCCCTCCTTGGACTGACTGGCCCAGCTGCATCCTCTCCTCGGGGCTGCCAAGGAGGGCAAACTTCCGGTCCGGGCTGGCTCTGTGGCTGTTACAGGGCTGCAAGGAGTGATCACAGCCCTGCAGACAGGAGCCCCCAATCCTTTTTCTCTAACTCCTGCCCCGTCCAGGGACCCCTTAACCACCCCAGCTGGGCCAGGCATGCTCCTCTCCCTCAGGCCCCAGGGTCTGGGCCACTGGCTCACGCGGTTTAGGGTCAAATACGGCTGGGATTTCTAGAACCAGCCACTATGCTAAGTGCTTTATGTACGGATTCTGATGTAATCCTCATAGTGCTCCAGTGAAGGAGGTGGCCTATTTTACTTACGAGAAAACCAAGGCCCAGAAATGGGCCAGAGTGCCCAGCCAGGACGTGCCCCATCACTGGCCCTCTCCCTGTGGACCCACGTGCGGCTTCTAGCACCAGGAGACAGTGGCCTTAGGCTCTAGGCAAGCCCAACCTATGTGGGCTCACGAGGCCTGGAGCACAGGTTTAGAACCAGCCAGATCTGAGTTTGAAACCCAGCACTGCCTCTTGGTTGCCGTGTGACCTTAGGGGCATCACTTCTCTGTCCCAAATGGGAATAACCACCTCCACTGCAGGACTGAGCAGGAAACATGAGAGCACACAGAAACTGCCCAGCTGGTGCCAGGCACAGGACAGACGCCAGTGTTACTCCCTTCTGCTTTCGGCCTTTCTAAAATAGACCAGGAGTGGTGGGGCTTGGAGGCTTGGAATCTAGGAGGCGGTGGAAGATTTCTGTAAATGAGTCAAGGGAGCTAGGCTGTCAGACAGGAAAGGATGGTGGTCACATTTAGGCTGGTGGGATGGGAAGCTGAATTAAGAGCACACACTTCCTGGGGCCCAGAACTGGTTATCAGACAGCATGTGCCTAGAGGCGGGGCTGCCTCTTTTGGAGCCCTTTCTTCACCGACCCAGCAGGATGCTGCATGTGATCCAGGCCAGCTGCCCAGAGTAGCTAACAAGGCGGCCCTTTGGCCTTTGCTGACGGGGCCCTCGGCGGAACTGCAGAGGAGACAAGGGTTGAGCTCTCTCCGGAGTCACTTCAACCCCACCCTCGTCCCGTGGGTTTAGTTCCTAACAGTAAGGGGTTCTTACCCAGGTCCAGGTCAATGTACACTTCAAGGGCCCCTGAAAGCACAGTCAGGATTTTTGTGCATTTACATATGTGCAGTTTGGGGAAGAGCCACTCCAAAACTTCACTCAATTTTCAAAAGGCCCCAGGACCCTAATCAGGTTAGGGACCACTACTGCTTTAAGGCTCCAATCCCCACTTAGACAGAAGGGAAAGAAGGCCAGGGCCTGACCCTGCTCAGGAAGTGTTTTTTAATAAGAAACTCTGGAAGACCAGTGTCCTTTTAAAAATCAAAGGAATGCATCCTTGAGGGAACATTCGAGGCCCTGGCACACACAAACAGAAAAATATCTGGGGGCCGAATCCAGCCTGCAGTTTCTCCAGTCACACAGACACCCATCCTGTCTGGGCCCATGTGGTAGGTGCCCTGAAAAAGAATTAATTTGTTATTATTATTTTCTTCTTTCAAAAGGAAGGGTCCAGAACATTAGCTTGTCCTCACTGGGCTCTCCTGCCTGGGTTGGGGTGGGGAGCCCTGGAATCCTGTGGGACACCACTGAGGGGAGCCTTCCTTCTTGAGAGGAGATAAAGGGGCTGGGATCTAATCAGACCCCGAGGAGGATCTACAGGGAGGGAAGGCAGTGGTGGGAGGACGGTTCTTAGTGACTAACTGAGGCTGGACTGGTCCTGAGCCATGATTCTGGGCTGGCTGGTGCCCTGGGCCTGGGGCTGGGTACGAGCAGAGTGGCCCGCCAGAGTGAAATGATCCCCCCACCGCCAGGCCTGTGCATAGCACTCAGCACGCAGGGCCTCAGTGTGGATGGGCAGGAGGAGGGTCCTGCAGCCTCACAGCGACACCATGTGGCAGCAATAAGAAACTGCAGCAGAGGTCGGCGTAGAACCCCTGCTTACTTCCCTGTACCCCTGGGTGGCCCTGGATGGGTCTTGAGCAATTAAAGCGTTGGGGAGACAGGAAGGAGACAGTGGGATTTTAGTTAATGAGGCAGGCAGATGTTCAAGCAATTGACTGGAGAGGGATGTGGCCATGAGCACGGTTCTGCCTGGCCTCTCTGCAGAAAGGTAGGAGGGATGGTGATGGGGGAGGTGGGGGGAGAGGCACTGGCGCTCTGGGAAGGCTGCGGAGGGAGGGCTGGGAGAGGAGAGGAGCTTCAAGTCCCTCCAACAGGAGAACTTGGCCAGCCAGGGAGGGACACTGGACAGGGAGTCAGAGACCAGGATCTAGTCCTGGCCCTGCACCTGACCAGCGTGTTGCTTCAGGTCAACTATGTTTGGATTAATCTCCTGTGTCCTGAGCTCCACGGACTCCAGGGACAGGCATGGAAGGGTCATGCCAGGAGGTGAAGACTGTTGGTGAGTTTGCTGGCATGTGTGTGCATGCGGGGGGATGTTGGAGGAGGAAAGGGAGGACAAGAAGGGAGAAGAGGGGGAGACAAGGGACAAAGGAAGATATTTAAAGTATATTTCCAAGCAAAGCCATACAGAACTGGTATTATTTATTCTCCCCATTTTACAGGTGAGGAAAATCGAGGCTCTGAGACAATGAGTAACTTGGGCCCTGAGGCAGAGACTGGCACCCACTGGACCACAGTCCCCATGTCCCTCACAGTGACAAGTCACCACATGGCTGAGTTCTGGAAGAGGCCATGTGGGCAGAAGTGGTATCACTTTCAGGCCTGTTCCTTCAAAGTCTCTCGTGTGATCCTCTGGGTCCTTTTCCCTTTGCCAGTCGGCCCGAAAGCTGTGTGTTGAGACCGCAGGCAGAAAGGCGCCGGGAGACCAGAACCACCGTGTAGAGAGGAGCTTCCTGTGAATCAGGAGCACCTATTTTGGACTTAGGTGGGCAGGCCTGGTCTGCAGGCTTCGAGACTTGGGGGGTTCATCTGCTTCAGCAGCTAGCACCACCCCAGCAGTAAGTAAAGGAGTGGGATTCAAACCCATCTCCCCGGTCCCCTCCAATGCCTGTGTCGTGGGCGTCAGGTGAGCTACAGCAGTGTGGTCCCCAAATCTCTGTGTGTGCACACACACATGTGTTGGTGTGCCCATGTGTACTACAGAACTATGGCGTGAAGGATCTACACTCCTCTCCCACACTGCTCTGACTGGGTTTCCATGCTGCTCATCTTTTCCTTACCTGGCTTCGGAAGGCTGCTGGGTTTAGTGTTAAATCATCTTTTTTGTTCATTCTTCTTAAGGGCCCCATCAGGTAGCCATTCCTGCCCCTCACGGATAAAGGGAGAGGGGCAGCAGGGCCAGGCCAGGCTTTAGACTTTAAATGACCCCACTGAGGGCAGGGAACAAAGGTCATGAAACCACCTTGCCTCTACTCTCTACCAGGGTCACCCTCACCCTGGGGCCGTAGACCCACCTTCACTGTGGCCCCGAGGACAGATCACCAGTTTTGAAGAGGGGGGGTACTTGCTGGGGATTGGGGTTTTGAAGATCACCAGAGAAATCCAGGTTTCAGTCCTAGTTTCTCCATCTCCTAGCTGTGAACCTTAGGCAAACTGCTGACCCCTCTTAGTCCCTCTTATTATTATTACCCTCTACTGGGTCAAGTGGGGGAGAAAGGTCTGTGATTTGCAGGACTCTTGTGATGGCTAATGAGTCCACATATATAAAAATGCCTGGCACATAACCGAGCTCTAGCCAGTGTAGTATCCCCTGTGTGAGACAACCCTCCTTCCCTGCCTGAAATTAAGAAAATGCCTATAAACTACAGCTTTCCTCAGGCAAGAGATCCCCCGTGAGGACAGGGGCTTCCAGGGAGGGCACAGTTTATCAGCAGGGCCTGGCAGAATGGGCATAAAGGAAGTAAGTGTTCTGGAAGGCCAGGCTATGCCAGGCCAAAACCCAGACACAGGGGCTGGAGCAAGGGCCCTGCTTGCTAAGGAGGCAGAAATGTGGAAGAAATGTGGGGAGCCTCGAACTGGGGGGGTGGGGCAGTGAGGAGCAAGCCCAGCCTCCTGTATCGCTTCCTCAGGACACTGCCTCCTGCCCCCTTGCTTAGGACCCTGAGAGGTGAGCCCACCCCACAACCCCCAAGCAAGGCTTCCAATCCCCAGCAAGGACCCCCACATCATTCCACTCACTACTTGTCCCCAGAGAAGTTTCCCTGGCCTCATGCCTCCAGGCCAAGGCCCCACCCAGGGAGCTACCCCCTAGTCTCTCAGCCAGGACCCTTGGGCTGAAGGGTTACCATTTCGGCCTGTGAGCATCTGGAGAAATCGTGGGCACTCCATTTCCACAGTCTGTCCCAGCGCAGAGGAGGGCCAGCAGCTCATGTTGTCCCAAAGCCCCTCACAGCCTGCCAAGAAGAGCGGCAGCATCAGACGGGGATACAGCATGACCAAGGGCCACCACCACCACCCTGTCACCATCCCCAACACCCTCGCCTGCCCGGAGTTCCTGTTAGGTACTGACTCCTTGAGATCAGGAACCAATAGTGTCTAATGTGCCTTTTCCTCCTCAGGGCCTTGGACTCTGCTATCTACATAGTAAGAGCTCAGTGTTGAAGACACAAAGGAAGGAAGGAAGGAACACACATTATCTCACGTAAGCCTCATAATGCAGGTCTGGATTTCTCTAGAGCAGAAGATGGCACGTCTCTTGGCCTCATCTTGCATTAAACGACTAGGCGGCAGTGGGCCTCCCTCCTGGCTGCACAGTGTAATGATCTGGGGAGCTTTAAAACATACATAACTGGGTGCTGCACCCAAGGGTCCTGGTGTAATTGGTTTGGGGTGGGGCCCAGGCATGATATTGTGTTAAAACTTTCCAGGTAATTCTAATGTGATGGCAGGGTTGAGAACCCTTGTCCCATGATTCTCCAACTTCAGCTTGCATCAGGATCATCCAGAAGGCTTGTTAAAACACAGAGAGCTGGGTCCCACCCCCAAAGTCTTGGTGGAGCCTGAGAATGTGCATTTCTAACAAGTTCCCAAGTGAGGCTGATGCTGCGAGTCTGGAACCACACTTTGAGAACCACCGCCCTGGCCTACGGAAGCAGCTACACCAGATTACCACTGCTTTGTAGTAGTAATATTGTTGAGGATGTTGCTTTCTACCTCACAGTGTTCCCTGAAGGAGAACCTCATCTCAATGCAATGAGAAGCTGAATATATGGAGAACAACTAGCACACATCTGTCATTATAGACATTATATCTTGAAGCTGTTTCCTCTTTGACTTGGCTGCTAGGAAACTCAGAGTGAGATTTGTGGCCTACTTCTGGAAAGACTTTGAAATGAATCAAAAAGATTACTGGGTATCTTCAATGCAAAATGAGGTACTGTCTAAGCACAGCCTTCTGGGTTATCTGATTCTATGGGTCTCTGGCCTCTTATTGTCTTTGAGTTATTTTGCAACTCTATAAGTTGTAGATAACTGATAGCAATGCAAATGATTCTTGTCCAAAGGCAGGCAAATGAATTTTGTCCAATTGTATTTCTTTTTTTTTTTTTTTTTTTAAAGATTTTATTTATTTCTATTTTTTCCCCCCAAAGCCCCAGCAGATAGTTGCATGTCATAGCTGCACATCCCTCCAGTTGCTGTATGTGGGACGCGGCCTCAGCATGGCCGGAGAAGGGGCGCGTCGGTGCGTGCTCGGGATCCGAACCCTGGGCCGCCAGCAGCAGAGCTCGCGCACCTAACCGCCAAGCCACCGGGCCGGCCCTGTCCAATTGTATTTCAACTAGACAATATCGTATTCAGCCAGTTTTGCATCTGTTTGTAAATTCATTTTAGCATTCTGCCTTGTTGTAGCATTCTACATCTCTGTATGTAAGGAACTTTGAATTCTCCTATGAACTAGTGGTAATATCTTAGTGGTTCTCTCATTAATTAAATAAAATGTTTGGAAGGTATTCATTTTATATTTGTATGCGAGTTATGATTATACTCTCTTTTAAAAATTATCATTTAAGGGCCGGCCCCATGGCTTAGCGGTTAAGTGCACGCGCTCCGCTGCTGGCAGCCCGGGTTCGGATCCCCGGCGCCCACCGCTTCTCCGGCCATGCTGGGGCCGCGTCCCACATACAGCAACTGCAAGGATGTGCAGCTATGACATACAACTATCTACTGGGGCTTTGGGGGGAAAAAATAAATAAATAAAATCTTTAAAAAAAAAATTATCATTTAACATAATCACTCATCAATTATCACAAAGTTGATCCCATGGGGAGAAGCCCAGGGAAACTGCTCCCTGTGACAGGCGTCTGGGGACCCATGCCAACAGGAGGACATCACCAGGGGCAGGTTTGGAGGGGTCTGGAAGTAGAGCTGAGGTGACACCCATGAGGTGAACAGCAGTCACCCCCATTGAGTCGGGGGAACACAGCACAGACCACCCCACCCCAGATTCACGAACCTTCAGAAAGAGCTGGGATTCTGTCCCACAGACATGGGCTCCACTCCTGCCTCACCACACACTAGCTGCCCTTACCCGTTTCCTCATCTTTTCTGGGGAAACAGATGCCCTCCTCCTGAGGTTGTCGAGAGGAAGAGATCAAACCCCACGGGTAAAACCTGGCACTCTGTGGGCACTGGTGAAGGCAGCTCCCTGCCCAACATCCTCCCCAGGCCCCTTCTTGTTTCATCCTGGCATGGGGAGGGTGGGCCAGGTGGGTGCTCTGAATTGCAGGGCAATTTTTAGCTCCTGGGACTGGGAAAGGGGTGTGGTCTGAAGGGGTCGTTGGATTGCCTGGAGGGCAAATTCCCAGCTTTTGTAAAGGGCAAGAGTCTCTTTTCAGGCATGACTACAACCAGGTTCAAAGCACCAATATCCTCCTTGACACCTGTGTGCCCTTTATAAGTGAAGTTCCCTGGTGACCTGTCCCACTTCAGAGGTTCTGATCCTCCAGCGTACATCAGAATCACCTGGGAGCATGCCAACCATGCAGATCTCCGGGCCCCAAGAGATTCTAATTCAGTCATTCTGAGGCCTGGGACTCTGCATTTTAAGAACTGCCTAGAGATGCTGCTGTATGTGGTCATGAGGCCTTGCTTCGAGAATCTCCATGCTGCACCTCCCTCCTGCCCACAGCAGAGGGCCCCGATTTCTGGGCTCAGATCTCCCCTTGGCGCCCAGGAGCAAATCTGAGACAGTAAGACAGGCTGCCTCCCAAGGCCAGGGGAGGTCACTGCAGCTCCACCTCGGTGCCTGGGTGCAGACGGCCTCCCCGCACTGGGCAGAGAGCCCACGAGAGCAGGAACCTGTCTGATTCCCCACTGCCCATTGGAGGCCTGCGACTGCAATGGGCCGGGCTCGGCGCAGGTGCTCAACAAACGTGTCAAAGGAATAAATGAACAGATGATGGAGCCTCTGGCTCCTGTACGTCCCCTGTCCTGCATCCCTCGTACACGAGCTTTCACTTTGATGCCCACCTGACTTCTAAATTCCCTGTTAGGTTCTGGCCTTCCAGCCCTCCGCCTGCCAGCTCCGGTTGGGTGTAGTGAGAGTTATCCTGTGCTTACATACACGAGCTCATCTAATCCACAGCTGGGCTCCAGGGCACCTGGCTCTGTCCTCATTTTACAAATGAAAGAATAAAGCAGCAAGGAGAAGGGAGTGCCCTGACTCACAGCCAGGAAATGGAAAAGGAGTGGCGGAGACAGAGCCTGGACATAGAGGGCAGGGGCCGGGTGGGGCTCCCACAGGAGAGTGAAGGCACATGTGGGACTAAGGACCAGCGCCCTTCAAAGAACGTGGGAGACGAGAAACACCTGTGGTATTCCGGAACCTTCACCCCAATTCTCACAGTGAGCCCGGAAAAAGGAGGGACTTGACCTTCTCTCCATCTTGAGCCCCCCAGAGCACCAAGCAGGGTTCCGCCACTGTCCAGGTGCTGGTCATCCAGATTCCAGCTGTGGACACTGCTCGCGGGCCCCCAGGTGACTCCGGCCTCCCCAGAAGCCCTAGGGACGGTGCATGGTCCTGGGAGGCCCTTTGCAGATGACCCACTGTGTCTCTCCACTGTGAGCTATTCCGGATCTGCAGTCTGGAGGACGAGGCTGACCCCGTGTCTTCTTTCCTTCCGCAGATGTCTTGGTGTGCTGGCACAATGCCTTGCTTATTCCCCAGCATCCCTGGCAGCTTGGGCCAGCATCGCTTATTGTGGAAGCAGTGGGGGCACTTCCCCACCATGGAAAACACAGGAGCTTCTTTCCTCACTTTGGGAGAAATGGATTCAGGGCTGCGCTGGCCAGGTCAGCCAGGGCACTGGCTGATGTCGCCAGCCCAAGAGGCTGGATGACCTATGTCCGGCTGGCCAGACAGATAGGGAGGGTGCCAGGGCGTCTGGCAGTCTTCCTGACCTGGGTCATGTCAGGCTGGGCCAACAGGGACACCAACCTGGTGCTGACAGAAGGCAGGGTGGCAGTGGCTGGTGGTGAGGAGTGAGGGAGAGAGAGGAGCAGCCTCCCCTCACAGCTGGTTCACCGCCACGCCCTTCATATCAGCCATATAGAGAAAAGGCTGGGGAAGGGGCCATCCAGGCCTGTGCTGGACGTGCATCAGACACTGTGTGCCCTGGGGGTTAGGTACGGTCAGTGCCCCACAGCAGGGATGAGGGACCCAGGCTCCAAGAGGCGAAGTGACATGTGCAGGGTGACAGAGCTGATACTGGTGGAGCTGGGATCCCACCCAACCTTCCCATTTCCAGCCCGAGGAAGGGTCCTACCTGCCTGGCTGACCCCTGGTGGCTGCAGACCTGTATGTTAACTCCACACGGCATTGCTCAGGTCCTAAGCACCCATGACATTGCCACACTCTCCCAGCCTTGGCTTCACAGTCTGGGCATGGAAGGCATTGGAACAGACCCCAGTTCCCAGCATGCAGTCAGTTGATACATGGCACATGGCTCAGCGGCAGGTGTCCTGTCCTGACCCCGGCCATCCCCGGAGCTCTGACAGGGAAGGGACAAAGCACAGGACTCAGGCTGCTACGGGATCCTGGGAGTTTTAGATCCAGAGCAGCAAGGAGTTGGGGGTGAGGGGCTCCAATGAGCTAAGGGAGGGGGGAGCTTTGCAAACAGGGCTCCTGCTCCTGAGCCACTAGGGAAGGCTCACTACCTCTGGAAAGGCAGGGCTGAGATCAACACAAATTAGCTGCTGCGTGGGCAAGCAGGCCCAGGGGGTGGCGAGGGCCATGCCTCCCACCCCTCCACCATCTCTGATGGTCACCTGCCACCACTGACTACCTGGCTAGAGGGAGTGGGATGGAAGGCTGGGGAAGCTTAACTGGGGAAACCAGAAAAGACAATGTCGGACCACAAATACCACCCAGGGAAGCAGAGAGGGCCAAGCACCC